GGATGTGTCTTCTGACCTTCACCCATTGAGTATATATAATTGGATAGGCTTATAACACTGAACAGGATAGGAGCCTTGGGGGCAAAAAATGTTTCCCTGGATATCACCAAACAAAACTAAAATCCAACAAGTCTCACCCGATATTTGCTGCTGCTAACAAATGGATTGAGTTCAAGTATAGGACGCGTATGGGGGTGGCGTATGCCAGGATTCCAGAGGCTTGGAAGACAATTCTAGCGATTCCCTAATCGTCTATCACCCCACTAATTATGACGATGTCACCCTCCAAAATGAGTGCCAGGGATCGGCAGAGCTGACAAGGCGTGGATATGTGGCTGTGCCGCCATTGAACTTTGGGTCTCAAAGTATACGCCACCACTCATGTAACACGAATTCAGCTTGGAAGCTGAAATAGTAAGTTTTCAGCCTTGGTGAAATTAACTTCCATGTGCCTTAATTCTGAAAATTTGAGCAACCACTACAGGCTTGGGGTTTGGCTCTCCCGACTCCAAATACATCAACTGCATGTGTTTCTTCCCAACCAATTTCTAAAGTTTCCCCATAAGATCTATTGCTTCTACTTTGGGGGGCTTAGTGGTTTTATATGACGGGTTCTACTTGGAAACTGTGTGAATAGTGGAAGCTTTGTCCCGTGCATTTTCCTACAGGCCGTGTGAGATTTCACGGGGCGGATCGGAGATGAAAGGTTGTAATCCTGTCCACTGCAAGATATGTAATCGATTTACCACCAGTTGAGGTTTGTCACGAATGGAAGTGTAGGCTCCAGAAACAATATTGCGCAATTGGCGTAACAATCGAATATGGCGAAGACTAGCAAGATGGAACAGCAACACCACTTCCCTTCCTGCCTTTCTTGATTAATTCACATTAATATAGTTCCCCAGCTGGCGGAATTTATCGTCCCTACAACATTGTATCCATACGGAGGCCGCGGGTACATCTCCCGCCTTGGAGCTGTCCAGCTGTCTTGTAGCATACCAAGCTCCCCTTCACTCAACTTAGAGCGTGTATTTGAAAAGAGGTGAGCGGTCTCCCATCTTCTCGAGCTCTTCATCAGTATACTTGGCCCTGATTTCCTCCTCGGTCAACTGAGACCTCTTTCGGTTAATATTCCAGTAGAGAAACTCGAGAAGTAGACAAGACACAACACCAAGCCCAGCAAAGGCAAAAGATGCTCCAAAGCCAGTGGGGTAGGTTGGTTTCTCGTCCTCGATATAAATATAGCTGCCGATGATACCGCCGATATTCCCGAGGCAAATCATGAACGCAATACCCTGTGCGCGCTTGGTCGGGCCAGCGAGGTTTCCGATGGTCCATGCATTGCCACCGGGGTTAATGGGGTAGAAACCGACTGAGCAGAGGAAGATGGCGAAGTAGCAGACTGCTGTGTTGTCCTTGACTTTGGCCGAAAGGGAAAACAAGATAGCAAAAGAGATCACGACCAGCATTTGGGCTCCAACGATGAAGGGCATCCTCCACTTGAATTTGTCGGAGAAGACGGCAGAGACATATGCCGAGATGGCACCTAGGACGTATGGTGGGATAGTGAGCAGCTGCGCGTTGCTGTTAGAATACCCCATATTCTTGATGATCTGGGGCATCGTGAATTTCATTCCGTAGTTTGGCACAGTGTTTGACCAGTATACGAGAGCTTGAAGGTAGATCTGCCAGTCGGTCAAGGCAGAGCGGAGAATCTGCCACTTTCGGCTCTTCTCTGCCTCTCTGGCTCGCATGCTATTTCCCTGAACAGCCAACTGTCGGAGCTCGAGGTATTTCTTCTCGTCTGGTGTGAGCCACGGCGAAAGAGACGGCGTATCAATCAGGAAGAAGTAGGTCAGGACACCGGCGATAACAGAAGCGATTCCCTCCAGAATGAAGATCCATCGCCATCCTTCCAAATTTCCTGTGCCGTTCAACTTGGCGATCCCAAATGCGAGAAGGCCTGAGAAAGCCCCTGCGAGGGCACTTGCTGAATAGAAGAGGGCGATGCGGACTTGCGACTCGTTGGGGAGATACCATCTCGAAATGAGGTACACGGCACCGGGGAAAAAGCCAGCCCTGTTTAGAAACGAAAACTTGTTAGTAGTTTACTTCACATATGTGATTAAATTGACCTCTTATTCTTGTATGCTTACTCAAAGACGCCCAACAGTAATCGACAAACCACGAGGCCAGCGAAATTCTGGACGATCCCAGTCAGGGTGATCACCACGCCCCACGTGGTAACCAATATAGACAGATAGGTAGAAGGCCGTTTGAACTTGAGTAGGAGTGTGTTGCTTGGAACCTCTATTAGAATCCACATGGTTAGTTTATCTTCCAAAAAATGCACCGAGAATTGTCCATACCAAGCAGAATGTATGGGACAAAGAAAATGGAGAGGGCGATATTGTACTTTGTTCCGTCGAGTTTGAGGTCTTCCATCAGGCCTTCGATCTTCGCATTGCCTGAAGCGAAAATATGTCAGATATTTCCCTTCTTGTAGTTGAGTAGATATTGTAATGCTTCCCATGTTACATACCAATATTGGCTCGGTCGAGAAAGGAGATCAGATACAAAAACGCGAGCATAGGGATGAGTCGAATATCGATCTGTTTTCCTCGCCCGTTAGCAAAACAATTCTTTTCCTTCTCGTCGTCCGCTCCAGGACGAATCCCACCTTTCTCAAAGCCTTTTTCTTGGCATCTTCGGAAAAGTTTTCAACGAATGCACGATCCTCTTCCGAGAGTTCGCCCAGGCGCTCAGTATGACTGAACTTCTCGGGATGTTTCTCATTCTGAGTGACGGCCGAGGCACGGTTGCTTGTAGTCTCAATATTCTGAGCCATGGCTATCTCGTAGGAGCCAAAGACTCTTTGTTGACAGAGTTGAAGGTAAGCTCGATGTTGCAGTTGATGAGATTATCCGAAGAACCGCTTTCCGATCTTCGGTTGACAACTTGGACCGCTTCGTCGAGAGAGTTTCGGAATGTGGATTGTCTTGCAACCTTATACGTTGTCGAAGGAGGTCACCGACAGTCTAGATAGCTCGAGCTACAAGCAAGTTCATTTGCACGATACAGTAATGCTCCGGGAAGTTGCTGAAGTTGCTGCGAATAGGCAACCCCAGACTCTCGCCAGAGTCATTGCCTGCGACTATTGTTGGGGCTAGTTAACATGCAGTTTGGCGCAGCAAAAATTGTCGCCCCATGATTCTCCCCGTGGGGCAAGAGTGCAACTGGCAGAGAGTGTGTTTTGCACTTGCTTGGGGTCGGGATTCCAGGAAGGGCTGAGTTGGTCGAGTAATTCCGACAGTCGAGTGTCGGCATTCAAGAGATTCCGACATAACACAACCCACAGGCAAGGTAAGCAGATAAAATTCCGACTCAAAAAACCGACACTAAACCATGCCCACTCTATAGATAGTTAGTATCCATGAGTCAGGCATGGTTTAGCAAAAAGGAGAGGAGCTCGCATCTCCGACATAGGGGATGCCTTTGAACAAGAAGTAATTCCGACCATGTGGGTATGTATCTCAGTTCATACAATAATGCCGACCTTTCAATCAAACCAAGCCGATAGCGAGCGGCTCTCTGTGCATAAACCAATATCCGAATCTTGCTCGGATTTCTCTAGCAAGCGGAGAGCATTGATATTCAATCAAGAAACGGCTGTAGAATATACCCGCTGCGAGTGAGCATATTGCCGGCTATAGCTCCTTAAAGGAAAACCTAAGAATACATATCTTGTACGAAAATATCCTCACCTGGAGTAAAGCCTCATACACAATCCTGAAGAGAGATAAACTCTATCATTGGTAAAGAGCTTTCAATCTATTCATATTATTTTCTTCAGCAAGTCCAAAATGGTTGGCAGCACGAATGGTAGTGCCAATGGCAACCATGTCACCCTTGAGGAGCCTAGCTTCGCGACTTACCCAGATCTCGACGGCAAAGTTGTATTCCGTATGTTATATAAAAACTTTTGCCCCTTTCACATTGGAAGGAAAAGACCGAGCAGACAATAGATCACCCGCTAACCACTGCATTGCATAGTGACTGGCATTGGTCAGACCGGCGACCAGCATATGTGGGGGAATGGTGCTGCCACAGCCCGTATTCTGGCCAAGCAAGGCGCCAAGATTTTTGGATGTGATCTGTACCTTGAAGCTGCTGAGCACACTCGAAAGCGCATTGCCGCCGAGGGCGGTGATATTACTGTTGTATCTGCCGATGTCACTAGTGACGAGAGTGTGAAGAAGGCTGTTGATGCCTGCATTGAGAAGTATGGCCGCATTGATATCCTCGTCAAGTAAGTTACAAGAGATATCCAAACCAATGGCAACTACAATTGGCTTTGACTAATTCTTCTGTCACTATAAAGCAATGTTGGTCGCTCTGAGCCCGGTGGCCCTGCTGAGATGACCGAGAAGGTCTGGGACGCCCAGACCAATGTCAACCTCAAGTCCGTCTACCTCTGCTGTCATCATGTGCTGCCATTGATGGAGGCACAAGGCGGAGGAGCCGTGGTCAACGTTGCCTCCATTGCTGGGCTCCGCTACATTGGAAAGCCCCAGGTCGCGTATGCCGCCACTAAGGCTGCTGTGATCCAGTTCACCAAGGCTACCGCTGTCATCTACGCCCCCAAGAACATCCGAATGAATGTTGTGGTACCTGGTCTGATGCATACGCCGCTGGTTGGAATGCTCGCGGACAAATATGCCGCAGGAGACTTGCAAGGGTTCATTGCTAAGCGTAACAAGGCCGTGCCCATGGGAAAGATGGGCGACTCGTTCGATGTGGCTATGACGGCTGTCTTCTTGGCTTCTCAACAGGCTAGATATATCACCGGACAGAAGATTGTGGTTGATGGCGGTATTACCTCATCAACTGGCTAATAGGTTGTTGATTGTCATGTACTATAACAGACAGCTTGCTTCTTAATACCAAAAAAAAAAAGTTGAAGACCCAGACAGAAATCCTCATGTTTCAATGTTCCTCCGTCAATTGTATTGCTGAAGTAGATCGATACCCTCTATTCCAAAGCTTTCAGGCAAGGCGGCGCTGTCAAATCCAATATCCATGATCACGTCCAGACCATTGTTCAACCCGAATGTATCCATGGCGTGTTGCTCCTTCAGAATAAATTAGAACATATCACGGGATTATGTAGGCAAGGCGATCTGGCTTACGAACGCAGAATATGGTCCGGGAGCCGCTCTCTCCGCTTCATCATGGGGACCCAATTGAAAAGCTGGCAGGTCTGTATCATCATTTCCCAATACTGGCCCATGAGGGGATGAAACACTGGGTAAGCCTTGTTGAACCGGAGCTTCTGACCAATCTGGTGTTGGGCCATGTGCTGCTACGGTATTACTGGGCGAGTTGAGGGTCCGAAGAACCTCGACCCTTGCGCGGGATTCCTGTATAGCATTGTCAGTAATCAGACGTGGAGATTCAATATATCAATCACAAGCAGGTATTTAAATCTGGGACGATTTAAAATGACGGGAATCTTACATCAAGTAGTTTCTGGGCGTAGATGTTGACACGGTTATCAAGTTTGCGGTGAACCTTCATCGCCTTCTCAACCGCAGACTCAATGTTATTCCAGTCGTCCGACTCCTGGTACAATGCTAAGTAGACCAAGAGAATGGAAATCGCACAGAATATGAAGTGAGAGGTCATCTACATGTAAGTAGTCATCATCAGCAAGGTCCTGTGCAGTCATAATGTCTTTGATGTCCATACCCAGAAAGTCGCATTATATTTGAATTCGTCGACTCCAAAATCTGCAGCAAGAGCAATCATGGCCATGGCATTCTCGACGCATTTCCTCACACGCTCGGGGCACTGTCCTGAACGCGGGGTGCTGGGAGCCTGCTGAAGAAACTCCCTTAGCAGAAAATGGCGATAAATAAGCATATTGGCAAAGAAGAAAGCGGCTCGTATGGTTCTTTGCTGGCGTCGGAAGATCCAAGGAACGTCGTAGAACCCCTGCTCACGGGAGCTGAGCTCGTTTTGAACAGGATGAAAGAACTCTGGAACGTCGCCAAGCCAGTCAATGAGTTCTTTTTCTAATCCGGCCACGGTAGCCTCTGTAGGCGCAGTGTTTTTTCTGGCGGCTGGATATAGCTGTGTGACTATGTGGCCCATGATCATAGTGAGTCTATCTCATTGGGCATCAGTTTGAGAACGACACATCATGGAACTAGTTCATAGACAAACCTGAAATGAGCTACAACGCCTACCCATAGTTTCTCCTCAAGGCTACCAAGTCGGGACCTGATAGCAGGGTCAAGTTCCATGGAGAGCGCGACGGTAATATCATGCTCTTGAATTGATATGGGTCTACCCAAGGCAATGGCCAGATATCTGAGAAGATGAGCTTCAAATCCACGAGCCAAGTAAGAATTGAGGAAGGTGTAGCTTACCGATCGACCATGAACATAGCATACAATATGGACTTTCTAAAATGGGCTTCTTGAGCTGTGCATGCGGTTGGCTCTCTTTGAATATCGATCATCTGGCCCAAGCGGATTGTCAATCCCAATGTCATCCAGGCACTGTTGAACTGGCTCGAAGCAATCTCTAATTGACACTGTACGTAGAAGGTAAGCCCGTTGAGCATACACAAAAAAGGTGAAGTGAATCAATCGTCTTGTCCCAGTACCTTTAGTAGTTGAGCTTGTAAAATAGCCAGGGTCGGGGGGAACGTGTTTCGAGATTTTTCGAGCCTGAGTTCAGCAGCTTGTAGAAAGCGTTCTCTAGAATTATGTCAACCATTGACCGAATCTTCCGCGGCATAGATTCTTCTCACGATTTCCGTTTCCAAGGTGGCAATGGCTCGTTTTTCCATGATGCCGTCCAGATGCATCTATCAGGTTAGCTTCTCATGCCAGCATTGGACGGAAGGCTGACATACCCAATGCCCATGATTAGGAGCACGATAGCCATGTTTGTGTCGTCACTCAATACAGTTTCGTTCTCCGCATAGACTTGACTTAGGAGCTCAAACATCTCTGCCTTGGGCACATACCGGTAGGTAGTGTTTGCGTGGTCAAAGAAGCAGTCAAAGTAACTTTTAGCGGTCTCAATGCTCGGTAGAACAAAAGTGATGGCCTGATTGTTAGGGTTTGAACCGCCTTGTTCTTTGCTGAACAAATTCCGAGGAAGACCGCGACCGACCTGCGCCAGATGTCCAGAGACTTTTTGCAGAAAGGCGTGGACGCTCGCATCACCTATTACTCAGATAAGTTTATATTCAGGAAGGATTGGACAGTGTGAAACAATGCTAGGCCGGCTAGAACAAGCATACCCGAATCATGTTCGATTCTGACGGTGTTAATATCGTCGCTGTTGGCATTTGAGAGTGCAGCCACATGAGAAGGTGATCCCGGTGCAACTGAGGCATCTTCGCCCGTTACACTCAACGCCTGGTTCTGGGCCAAACTCCGCGTCTAAAGTTAGTGAGCTTTCTGCAATGAGCTTTCATAAAAATCACTTCGACGCGGGATATGCTTACAGTCCTACGTCTGTTTCCACGTTTGTAGTCTGAATTATAAGCGCAGCCTAGATTCAAGATGTGAGTGATATGTCATCGGTGTTGCTCGGCTTGATGTTGTGAGAGGATAAGAACACGTACGAAGCCCGGAGCCGAGGCAGCGTTGGCAGGGCTCACAGCCATCGCATTTGGATTTTCTTTTTTTACATCCGTCGCAGGCCCTATTTGCACCGTTCAGTTCAAGCTGGGGTGGGATTGATTGCTTGTGTCAACTTGAGGCACGTAGCAAGGTGGCAACGAACCTCGTGACGTATTTCTTCTTCGGCACGGGGCTTGGGACTGATGCCATTGGGTTAGACAGTAGTAAAGTCTGTCAATTAGCAGGAATATAGATCATGTAATACTGGGCAGGAAGCCTAAGGTTGCATCTGCCATAAGGATCCGACACCGCCTGAACTTGGATGATTGGGGTAAGTCGTCGGCTGTGGAGGTAGCTGTGTTTTCAGTGAGGGGCTTCAAAAGCCTGGCGAGTCATCCGCCAATGATCCAAACGGTCTAGGCTTGGGGTTCGTCTGTGGGGGGATGAGACTGGGGCTCTCATCTCCGCACTCCATCCCGAGCCACCCTTCCTCCCCCTTCCCTCCTCACTGGGTAGCCCACGTCGAGGACGAGTCAGTTGGGAAGCGGAGCAGATTCAAAGTGACAGTTTATTTGCATTTTATAAATTTCTAAGCTTTGCCTGCTGAATCAAACACTTCTACCATGAGTCTCTCAACCCCTTTTGAATATGCCTCCACAGCTTCTACCTGCAGGGTTGTCAACTCGACCTTGGTGCAGTTTTCTGCAATGTACTCGTGATACCCATTCCTCACATTTCGGTTCTGATTGACCTTGACCATCCCTCGTGCCATTCCCACTCGGATCATCTCATCTGACAGCGGGTGAGTGCCATGTAGAACGAGCGGTGTTGCATCACCTAAAGCCGCATGGATCTTCTCCAGCCTGTCCAGTCTCCAGTGCTTCTCTGCGCCTCCAGCAGGATATGGGCCGTGGACATTCCCAAAGCTAGGGGCTAAGAAATGAACACCGGTCTTCTTCACAAAGTCGGCGGCCATGTCTGGGTCGGTAAAGACACTCTCCAGGTCAATCGTCGGCAGTCCGTCCTCCCCTCCTTCCATTCTCCCAAGCTCAGCCTCAACGGTGATGCCCTTGTCCTTGGCCCTGTCCACGACGGATTTGACGTACTTGATGTTGCCCTCCTCATCATACATGGACCCGTCGACCATGATGGAGTCGAACGCGCACTCCAAAGCCAGATCCGCATCACTGGGCTTCAAACAATGGTCGAGATGGATAGATATAGGCACTGAAGCCGCGCGGGCAACCTCGGCTGCGTACTTGATAAATGCAGGGCCGTGGAAGTGCAAGGTCCATGGGAAGAATTGGATCATTGCGGGGGAACGACATCGCTCCGCCGCCTTGATCACTGCAAGAACGCCTTCCGCATTGTACCTATCATTGTATAAAATCAGTCTACTGCTGTTCACTTTACATATCACTCGGATAATGGGCATGTGAGCATGTAGTAGATGCTTGGGCTAGACTTACACACAGAACCCGCCAACGGCATACCCACCCTTCCGGGCGTTATGGATAATCTGCCACGTTCGGTTGTTCTCGGGATACGCAGCCATTTTGGAGAGTAATGAGTGTTTCTGTCTGGTGGTGTGCTGGAACTATGACCGGCAAATTGTCTCCTACCCTTGCCTTTTCAATCACGCGCCGGCTATTAGATGCCATTCTGAAGTAGCCAAGGATAATAAAATCGGATATGATAACTTTAGCTTGAGGCCAGAGTAAAAGCCGACCTGCATTTTCTTGACGAGCCCCACCAGAATGCGAGTGACACCATTTCCGACTCTAACGATGAATTCCGATGACAGAATTCCGACACCATCGTCTCACTTAGTCCGATCTAGCAGGTAGCCAAGCATCAGCCCGGCACCGGCTCCAATTCAATTATGCAGCAGCCTTCGGTCGTCGGCGGATAAGTTGAATTTATCCGATGGAAAAGCGTCAGGCCCACCAACACGCCGGCTCCGGTGATGGCTTCAAGATGCGGAGGCGACTCAGGCGAGGATCCATGAAATACCCCAGATATGGCCAGTCCCGCGGCATTAGGAAATTTAATGGCAAATAACAACATACGAAGATGACGGCCAAACACTTTGTCGGTGGCAGTCCTGCCGAATTGGTGGTGGATGCGCTGGAGAGTCTTGCTCAGTTGCGACCAGGAATCCAGTTTGATAAGCAGCATAAAAGTATGAATGAGTCTTAACCTCCTTCATGACAAAAATTAGTTCTCAATTGACAATTTAACTCTAGTCGTCTACTCTACGCTCCATGACCCCTCCAAGCATGTGGCACTCGTCTCCGGCGGCGGCGCAGGCCACGAGCCCGCCCACGCCATGTACGTCGGGCCGGGTATGCTGAGCGCCGCCGTCTCGGGCAACATCTTTGCCTCGCCGAGCGTGAACCAAATATACAGCTGCATCCGCAACGCCAATGGGGACGCCGGGACCGTACTAATCGTGAAGAATTACACGGGAGACATCTTTCACTTTCACCAGGCGGCGCAGAAACTCCGTGCCGAGCTGGGGATAAAAGTCGAGGTTGTTGTCGTCGGCGATGATGTCTCTCTTCAGAGGAGTAAGGCGGGCAAGGTCGGAAGGAGAGGTCTGGCCGGTACCGTGCTGATGCACAAGATCTTGGGCGCTGCCTCGGCGGCTGGCAAGTCTCTTGAGGACTTGGTCGAGTTGTCCAAGAAAGTGAACGCTGGTTTGGCGACGGTCGGTGCCTCACTTGATCACGTTGATATTCCTGGCCAGAGCACAGATGCTCAGATTCACCTCGCGGCAGATGAACTTGAGCTAGGCATGGGGATTCATAACGAGCCCGGGGCTGAGTTGCTGAAGCCGAAGCCAGAACTCAACGGCTTGCTTGACAAAATGCTCGACTATCTCCTGGATACCAGTGATCCGGAGCGAGCGTATGTTAATGTTGCTCCGTCTGATAATGTGGTTTTGATGGTGAATAATCTGGGGTCGTTGTCTGTTCTTGAGCTTGGCGCAATTACAGTCAATGTCACCCGGAGACTAGGTATGACCCCTCAAACATGGATTAAAGCCCGCGGTGGAGGGTATTGACAGTTCTCAGGAAACCGTGGGATCAAGCCCGTAAGAACGTACAGTGGAACCTTTATGACCAGCTTGAATGGGCCTGGATTTAGCATCACCTTGCTCAAAGCAGATTCGGAGCTCCTACAGTATCTGGACGCCCCTACTTCAGCGGTCGGCTGGTCCGTCCCTTATATTTTCCCAGAGGAGAGAAACGCGACCAATAGAGTCATTGCGACTCATTCGACTGAGAGCAAGGCGGAAATCGTAACCAAGAGCACGTCAAGCGCGAAGGGTAAGTGAATTTCTTCAACGTAAAGGCACTTGCAGCAGGTTGCTAACAGTAACCTCAATCAAGTTGATGGAAAATTGGTCCGTTCAGTTATCAGCAGCGCCTGCCGTGCTGCAATTGCTGCCGAACCGCCCATCACCGAGGCTGACACTATTGTTGGCGATGGCGACTGTGGCCTGACACTCAAGCGTGGCAGCGAGGCGGTGTTGAAACTAGTAGAAGACCCTTCAGCCTCCGAGGACAACATCCTCGATCTTATGATCAAAATCGCTCATGAAGTTGAGGAAAACATGGACGGCACCTCTGGAGCTATCTACGCTTTGTTCTTCAGCGGGCTTGCTGCGAAGCTGAGAGATTTGGATAGTTCAGTGACCATGGGCCTGCAGGAATGGGCTGTAGTTGCGCTCGGGGGATTGGAGACTGTCCAACAAGTTACACCTGCCCGGTCTGGTGACCGGACTTTGATGGACGCTCTGGAGCCATTTGTCAATACACTCAAATCCGGAATTGATCAGGGAGTAGAAGCAGCAAGAAAGGGATCGGAATCAACCAAAGGGTTGAAACCGGCGTTTGGAAGGGCTGTCTATGTTAATGAACAGGGTTGGGAGCAGGTCCCAGATCCCGGAGCCATGAGCATACTTGCCATCGTGGAGGGTATTTCAAAGGCTTTGGCTGGTAGCCAGTAGCTCTCAGGCAGATTTAGGATGTGTATGCAAGAGTCGGCCATTTTACCATCACGGTAGCGCAGTTGAGAAAGAACAAGATATCAAAACACTGAGTCGTCAGTTTTCAAGGCCGTCATGAGCCAGAACGTGGCTGAACAGGATCTATTGAAGCATGCATTACCATGTCCGTTGGTTCAATTTGGCCATCAAAGTAAGCAACACTGGTTACAAAATCTCACTCGGCCGCAAAAACTAGACCATATTTCATATCGAGATTGTAGACTTCTCAAGCTGCGCTACAACGATAATATCTATGGAGGGAAAGACTTCATTACATTAGATCAATATCGTTTGTCCTCGTCGGCCTCCCGCAAAGCACCCTCTATGTCTATATCATCGAGGGACAAGAACCTGGTTTTCTTGTAGAACTTCCAAAAGAGAAACGCGGCGAGCACCAGCGGGAAATCCCTACTCGGGTCAGTATGCAATTTAAGATAGATCGCTTGATTTCATTGCTTACAGGTAGGATGACACAAAGGAACTGGGGTCCCAGTTTCCTTTGGTGAAGACTGTGAAACCACTCGTGAGGATGATGATGAGACACATTCCCAAAGCGGCGATTGAGCTATGCACTGAAACCAACAGTTAGTCATAGTTGTTTCTATTTTGTGAACCACTTGGACTCTCTCTTATCACTTACAAGAGAAACGATTTCCCCATGGGAGCCGCGTATAAGGGATGTTTTGCTTCTTCAGGGCCAGGCGCAGACGGATGTGGTTGAATAGAATGGTCGACCACGATACGAGTGTTCCAGCCGAGGTCAAGCTAACCAGCCACCAGAAGACAGTGATGGCACCGTTCGAGAGACTCATAAAGCTGAGAAACATGACGGCGGTGTATAGAGAGACGCAGACATACGGGACACCCCAGCTCGTGGTACGCAAGAAGACACGAGGCGCATGGCCCTTGAGAGCGAGACCGTAAAGCACACGGGTTCCAGACAGCAGACTTTGGTTCGACGCCGACCACGCGGAGGTGATGACAATAGCGTTTACAACACTTGGAATAGCAGGAATTCCAGCTGCTGAAGCTGCAATAACAAAGGGCGAAGCAGTTGCATCACTGCCGTCGTTGTTGAGACGCTCGTCATCGCTCGGGACCAGCATACCAACAATCAAGATTGCTAGTAAATAAAAGACAAGGACACGGATGAAGACATTTTTGCAGGCTCTCGGGATAGCCTTGCGCGGGTTGCGTGTCTCCGCGGCTGCCATGGCGATCGACTCGGTTCCAGCAAAAGAAAACACTGCGCCCGTCATGACAGACCAGTATCCGAGAAACTCACCCCAGTGGCCTGTTCCAATATATTCCGCCCATGGGCCGGGCGAATACCAATACTTGAAGCCGATCCGCGGCGTTCCTGGCACGCCGCCCAGGTTGATAACGAGGCCGAGAATGATGAGAAAGATGACGAGGAGAATTTTGAGCCAACCAAATATGTACTCGACCTCACCAAAAACCCGGACAAGAGAAAAACCAACGGCTACCGTGAGGACCATGAAAATGACAATGAACACGGCAGGGCTGAGGTCTGTCCAGTACTGAAACAGCACACAGATGGCCGTGATCTCCGCCGGAATGGACAAACTCGTCCCGTAAACCAGATTCCAGCCCACTGCAAACCCAAGCGCAGGATCAACGAGAAACTCGGCGTGGCGGACAAACGCACCGGTCACGGGCATGAGGGCGGCGACCTCTCCGAGCGCAAACTGCACCGCGCACACGACCAAGCCGACTGTCGCATACGCGAGCAGCGCACCAGCTGGGCCGGCTTTTTGCACTGAAGACCCGAGACCGAGGAAGAGACCAGTGCCAATGGCTCCGGCGATACCCAGCATAGCGACATGACGCTCAGAGAGACCGCGCTTCAGGTCGCGTTCCTCGTTGGTGGTGGCGATGATGGCATTGTGCCCGTTGGTGTGGACTTCGGCCGTCTCTGTCACCTCTTCGTCTTTGGTGGGGTAAGACTGATGCAGCCAGGGCGAGTGGTTGGCAGCCATGGCTTCCCTCGGATGTTCGTCGAGTCCTGTGAGGGAGGAGATGCCGTTCAGGATGAGGCTCAGTTGGTTCGGGAGCACTTTAAGAGTCGGTGTCGCGTGCTGACTTTGAGAAATCAAAACCGGGATGGATGAGATAGCGCCATCGCCATGACAGGCAAGGATGGTGCCATCATTCCTGCAGTATTCTCACCAATGGCCTCGACCTTTGCGGGGGTTGATCTACGTGGTGGCACGGTCCTCTGTTCAACGGGACTGGGATGAACCTTCGACTTTTTCTTCAGAAGTACTTAGAATAGAAACAGCAGCCTTAGACCTACTGCTGGCACATTTTTAATTATCCCACCTCCCTGTCAAAGTCTCTTACATCGTTGTTCCTGTTCAGAAGGACCAGAACATCCACCATATCACCCTTTGATCTGGCTCAATGAAGTGGCAAAATCTTTGTACATCAGAAAAATCAGACACGCGGCTGGACCCAACGATGAACCGGATTGATCTCTCATTTCCGAGCCGCGTGGAGCAGGGATGTCATTCGCCCCGTCTAACAAGAGCTCCCTTGGCCCAAATGAGAAGGTAAACCTCACTGTCCTCTGCATATCCTAAGGCAGAGATCACGAACCCTGATTTAACTCAGTAAACACTTCTCATCTAGCAGCTCGGATCTCGCTTTTGAAGGAATGTGAATATCTAGAGAAAGGCCGTCGGTAATCGAGCGCTATCAAGGAGCTTACCCCACGACTGACAAAGCGAATTTTCCTGCGCAGATCCTCTGGATGGAGCCTTTTTATCGGCCCGTTGCGGGTTTTCTTGATAACAATGTCCTGATCTTGTTGCCACCATTGAACCAGGGTCGCGTATCCGCTCACAGCCACATGCACTTGTCAAATGCAGATGGAATATTGCGAACACACATGAGCAGTGACATGGACCAGAAAAGCGTCGCACATAACCACAATTAGCTCTCGAGGCATCTCGGCAAGGTCCGCATGGGAATTGGGAAGAGTTGGGCTGTCGGACACATCTTGACCATTGAAAATGGTTACCCTATACCTGAAAGCGCAGCTCAATGAACTCTCATTCTGTCATACCAATGAAAACCACGATTTTAAAAACTTGAATTGTGAAGACATTTAATCAGAATCTAGTCAAATAAACGTGTTTCGCATAATCATAATTCCAGTAAGTCGCTATTGTGATGAGGAAGAACGGAACTTTACAAAAGATGATATATGAAGCTTCGCTGTTCTTACCAAACTTGTAACAGAAGTCGGTACGTTTCCCTCAATTTTAAATATAGTTAATGTCATAATAAGGACGGTTTAGGTATACCCGATTGTTACTTGAGCTAGATTCTCAAATATTAGAACTGTATACACCACTCTCGCGGTTGTTTTTGTAAGCGGTTGATGCCGCCTCAGCCACTTATATCTCCCCTAACAGAATTCTGACAACCGTGAGTCCATTGTATGATTCGTACCTTAAGCACCCTGGGTCAACGAAGTTGAAAATCTCATTTGGAATGTCCAAGACTTAGGATGGGAAATCTCTAACCACACTATTTAAAAGCCCGTTGATATATCCTTCCGATATACTAGCATCAGATATGAGAGCCATCCACTGTGCGAGACCATCCTCTGGAGACGTTTGAGGCTCCAATGTATCGTCAGATAGAGCCCCCGTTCCGCTAGGCTTATCATCCATCATCGTGATGGTACGCTTGGCCAGCGTTTCAAACGTGTCACGGTAAGGAGCAGCGGCCTTCCACCGCTCTGCCATGAGCACCAACATAATCGTACAGTCAGTGCAAACGCTACTCACCCGACCTTGCCGATACGTAATTCGGACAGTAGGTGAAGTCCATAAGCAGTGCAAAAAGGTCAGCCCTGCGAGAAACAGTTCATGAAGTCCAGTCCAGGTGTAGCTAGTCGGCTTCCCGAGATATTGAGACCGGTAGCTGTGGCATATGGACTCTGCAGCGTGCATGCAATCCAGAAACACGCTCTCGACGGTCCCGGAGTGGTGTATTATTTGAGACCTGTACAATTGAAGGATTGTATAGTTGTACTCCATCTCAAACCAATCCGATGTCTGGAATAGTGCAAGGGCCTCGGTGCAGGCTGGTAGTGGCGGGATTTCGGCGCGCCACTTCTCAACCTCGGCCCGGAATTTCTGGACCTGCTCAAGATGAGAATGCTTCGGTGGGCAACATGACTTGGAATTGGAATATAGAGTGGTGTGTAGGTGGGCCAAAATGTGTCGGATCCGGAACGTGTGAATCGCTCTCGTCATGCTTGTTGGCGGATCAGCCGGCGATTCCCGTGGCGAGAAACATCGTCCACTGCTTGGGATGTCGGCGTCGTCAATATCAGTCGGATACTGATTTTCACTGTTAGATCTGATTGCAGATGATCCTCCAAAGTAAGGAACAGTGTATGAAAGCATTGACAAATCTTACTTCAGCGTCAACCTCGTGATAAGGTATTCCTTGTGGTCGCCCAAGCATGATTGCTGCCTGTGACTCCATTGCATACGTGCACCAGAATACTCTTCTGTGTAGTTCCAGTTGCAGCGGGTCGTCAGTCGATCCGAAGGTTTTGGAGTTGCGGTGATAACCTCGGTCGATACACTGACGCAGGGCCAGCCCAGCCAATTTCCTGTCCTACATGAGCGTTACTCTGTTTCAGCAGGCTTAATTCATTATGTCTTACCAGTGGGATGTACCAATAGAGGAGCGAAGAGAATATACGGCGCAGCACAGGATGGCCTGGATCGACTCTAAATTATCCAGCGCTAGGACCTGATCGCTGTATGCCTGTGCAGAGACATACAGTCCCTATCGCAGGGTTGGTCAATGGTCATGCTGTGATCCCTATTTTGGTCAAATACACTTCCGGGGCATACCTCAGCTGAGTAACCATAAGTTGGCAATATCAAAGCCCCCACGGCATACACCTGCCAGCGGAAATCAGTCACTTCTCTCTTAACAGAAGCATAAGCGGGAGAATTACCATGTAGAGGAAGAAGAGCGCGACGGGGTCAGAGGTCACGTCATCAAATTCGACTAGCCCACTGACGATAGAGAGCTCCCATTGTCTAAACGTTGGCTCGTGAAGGAACGGGTATTGAGGGTGGATATTATGAAAATAGGCCGCACTTAGTCTTACCGCTGTGTCGTAGTCGGGGAGGAGGCATGGAACAGGGTGTGTAGGTGAATTATTCGAATGTTGATCCAAGCCGGAACCTGAATGCCTCTCCGCGACAAGGCCTCGCAATGATGAGTTGAGAAGCCGCGAGAAGGCAAATGTGGATGATGAGCCTAGGTAATGAGGCTCGGCACCAGCTGCGCTGAGACTTAAAAGACCTACCTTGGACGACAGCTCATCAAGGCCAGTCTCCCCGCGCTGCTCCTCGTCCTTATCTCTGCGTGTGTGAATAGAGGAGGAGTCTTTAGTGGATAGAGAGGTGGCGGGGCCGTTGAATTGGGAAACCGACTTAGAAGGCGCGCTATGAAAAAGGTGATCGTTCGCAAGATCTGGGCGATAGTGTTTGAGAGTCTCTTCGAGGAATGCAACGCGCTGCTCTAGGAGCTCGAGATAATTCCGAGGCCGATGCTTTCTGGTTGCTGGGTCCTCTACCAGGCAGGCTGTCCGGCGCCGTCAGTAAGAAAAGCTAGAAGAGACCATGGGGCAATTGAATGCATATGAGAATGCACTGACAGATCTCTGCACGGCGACAATTTTCACAGCCAGATATGTTGTTGTCACACTGGATGCGCGCTCTGTCAGTAAAAAGCAATGCGAAGCCAGCCAGGGTCCATGTCTCACTTTTAGTTTTTTCTCTTTGCAGTTGACGCAGGCCATCAGCGTCCTGTTTGTCGACCGAACTCGTTTAGGGCTTCGATACGCCCGAAGATTTCCTTCTCTTGCATTCGGAAACATGGTGTGGATGGAGGAGAGTTGGACTTAACAGGTCAAGGAAGTGCCAACCAGCCCATTGATGGACCGTCCTTATCAGTGGAGGCGTCAGTGCACTAGATATGATTTTAGGGGGCGCTAGATCTGACATTTAGGGCCCTGGCATACTGAAAGCTGGTCTAAGGTCGAGTGTATGCGAGACATCCTCTACGAACAACCACAAGTATTTTTATCATCCGGAGTAAAGTACAGGGCACTCACAAGATTGTGTCATAATCCTGATACACTTCTGAAATTCAGCAGCGGACTTATTGATACCATGATTACGTTGGAAGTTTTGCTCTCATTTTCTTTTGGGCCTTTCTCGGCTTAAAGTTGGACAAGGTCTACACTACAGGCTGCAAACTATCTATAGGCGTGATCGTACTACTCCGTCTTTCTCTAGACCCTTCAGCTTTTCCACTCTTGCTAGAGTAATCTCGAAAGCCTCAGGGAGCTTTGTGTCAGCCCAGGGTAAGCCGGCCATCAGCTTGACGAGTCCAGGTGCTGCAGTGAATATCCGTGCCATTCCGCTGCAGCGCAAGTATATTAGTTTGCTTTCTAATTACTTTCCAGCCAAGAGCGAAGGATATTTGATAGAACTTACTGTCCGTTGTGGCCGGCACAGACCCATTGGCCTGGAAGTCCAGGGAGCTGTCCCACGAAAGGTAGACCATCAGAACTCTAATTCTCACTGTTAGTTCGTCCCAAATAATCCTAGATTAGTACCAAAAGAATACTTACCATTGCAATGATTCCGCTCCATTCCCTCCTATAATCCGCCGGAACATCTCCAGGCCACCCTCTTAGCTGAGCGTTTGTAAAGTCTTTCACAGCCTCTGTCACGGACGGGAAGCCGACAATGTCATCATCGGTGGCCCTCTCAGGGTTATTCTCGAGCCACCTGTAGAATTCGGCCTGACCAGGATTGGAGCCCCCAAAAAGAACAGGGCCGTGGGTAGGTATTCTTGGGTTGATTGTGATTAGACCTCCGCTAGGCAACAGAATACCGTACGAGTTTTGAAGGGCCTTGGATCCCGTGAAGCTTACAGGTGGAACGATCAAGTTACACATATGAGGCGTGGGTTTGATAAGACCACGCAAAGACGGCTCAAGGGCAGGACTGTAAGCGTTGGTCGCGTGGACAACCTGGGCGCACTCGATATCGCCGCGCCCAGTTTTGACTGTCCAATTTCCCAGTTGTTTTTGGGACTTGACAACCTGCGTAACTGTGCTGCGAGTCTGGAGATTTACACCTTTCTTTAGATTCTCGCTCATAACATGGGCGGCCAGCTTCCAAGGATGTACTGTCGATGCAGGCCAAGCATAGCATGCTTTTGCATCTTTGATTCGCGATACCTTCATTGTTGTAAGCAATTCAAAACCAAACTGTAAATAAGTATATGTGGCTCACCTCTCTTGCCTTCGCCGGGTCATTTGTGATTTTAATCTGATCAATATTGCCCCCTGCTGCTTTGTAACGCTCAAAGATCTCTTTAGCATCATCTGCCGACTCCCAGGTGATTGGTACATCTAGAGTATCGCCGACCCAAAGCTCGCAGTCAACGTTCTTAGAACGAACATAATTAACTACACTTGACCATGTTTGCTGCTCATTCTCGAGGATCTATATTGTCCGGTTAGATATTCTTGTGATGACAGCAAGCAGAAATTTATTTGAAACCAACCTTCAAAGCCTGCTCTGTTCCAAAATCATCCTCGTATTCCTTGAAACCGCGCCACTGATCAGGCTTACAATGTCCTGCATTCCTGCCCGTGGCGCCAGAGCAGAACTCGCGGGCTTCGACAACAACAACCTTCTTCTCAGGCCATGTCTCCACGCAATGCTTCGCTACTGTCGTTCCCGTCAACTATTACAGTGATGTTAGTGGCTGGTAAACTTGCTATCATCCCTAAGTGTGGGAGACGTACACCGGAACCAATGATCACTATGTCCGCTCTTGCGGGTAGTCCGGGAGTGGTGCGGTGGTTCATCAGATGGTGGTCCTGCATGTCTTGAAGCCATGTAGACAGAGGGCGACTTTCCTTTGGAAAGCTGTAGAATCCAGGTGCCATGACTAAGGAGAGTGTGAGATAATTGTGATCAGGATGGCACACTTTTCGTTATCAATATTCGGGAATTTAAACTGCTATTAGGAACACCGCCTAGTTTTAAGATCAGGCAATGCCGAGATAATGGCAGTGAAAGGTGACAGCATCCGATCTCGGCTACTCCAAGACTTCTGATTGGCGGAAACTACCACTTTTCTAGCCCATATTATCATCCCTCGTCACTGTTTACCTAGGTAGCATTCAAGTCTAGAGTATGAAGGTGGTTCTCAAGCCGAACGACACAGAGATAACGGCCGAGTCTGGGGCTCGATTCGGGGCTATGATTGGTTGCGGCAATGTCTTACCGGAACCTTCCGCCAATCAGAACTGGCTTCGGCTCAAGTGGGCCGGTCTCTCTCTGATGCTTTTGGGAAGCTTAAGACTCGAGTCAGAGATGCACATGGATATAAACAGACTTTTTCCCCAGTCTCCGCGTCTTCTTCAATATTGGTAGCTCTTAACAGAATCATTGAAAGCTCTTTTCTTTTTCTACTTATCCTGATCGTCATGTTCTCGCCACAGGCCGAAAGTGGTAGCAATCAGCTATGGCCTCCTGGAACAGTTCGCCTCGAGGCCAACAAACACAGCAAAACCATTATCTTACAGCCTCAACCGACTGATGACCCAAATGACCCACTAAACTGGCCGCAATGGCGTAAATACTTGAACATGGGCCTCGTCTGCTTCTACGTCGCCATGGTTGCCGAGTTCATCAACGCCCCCACTCCCACATGGGGCCCCATGAATAAGGAGCTTGGCTATAGTTTCGAGATATTGAATGATAGCTATGCTGCTGGCTGTGCAGCTCTAGGTGTTGGATCGTTGCTTCTGATTCCCTTCGCCCTCAAATTCGGCCGCCGGCCTATCTACCTCTTCAGCACCATAATTCAGTTTGGCTTAAGCATCTGGTCGGCTAAGATGCAGACAGTTGCCGATCTGATGCTCATCAACGTCATCTAGTGTCTTTTCAGCAGTCTGGCAGAGTCAATTGTGCAGATGACCATCGCCGATGTGTTCTTTGTTCACGAGCGTGGCAGAATGAACTCGCTGTACGTATGGGTGTGGCTTCTGTCTAGCTACATGGGCATGCTCATCGCAGGTTTCGTCGCTAAAAGATTGGGCTGGCGATGGGTCTGGTGGCTGAACGTTATCATCTTTGGCATTGCTATTTTCCTTGTCACCTTTGCCTACGAGGAGACAAAGTATTGCCCACCTCCCGAGGCTACTGTACCAGGACGGCTACCTGCTGTTGGTGAACATCAGTCAGGCGATTCCGAGGTCATTGCGGAAAAGAAACTCAAACGAGATCACTCTGCACCCGGAGATACTGATATCATATCAATTCCAGCAGCTGAAACTGCGCCAGCTCAGGGTGTTACATCAGTTACGATTAACCCTAATATCCCTAAAAAGACGTACTTGCAAAAGTTAGCACTTACAACTACCACGCCAACTTCAGGCCAGTCAGATGACTCTTTCCTTCGCCACATGTATCAACCCCTCATTCTTTTGACCACCATACCTGCCATCGCATACACGGCACTTGTATATGGTGTCTTGGTGGGACTGGGAGATGTCATGTCTGCTCTCATCTCAACCTACCTGACATTACCGCCCTATAACTTTACATCAGACCAAGTTGGGCTTATGAGCCTTCCCAGAGTGATCGGTGTGACCATTGGCGCCGTCATCGTCGGTCCGTTGAGTGACTGGTGGATTGTTTACTACTCGCGTCGGCGTGATGGTATTTACGACCCAGAGTCTCGCCTCTGGTGTGTCGTTCCTTTCATCCTTTTCGTTCCCGTCGGTGCGCTTCTCTTTGGATTTGGTCTCAACAACCATATGCCGTGGCCCGTTGTCGCAGTTGGGCTGGTTCTCTATAATATTGGAGTTACACCAATCAACAGCTTGTCAATCACGTACTTGACCGACTCGTACACAGATGTAAGTCTGCCCTTGTGGGTGTTGTCGATACTCTTGGGCATGATTTCTAACGCTAAAATAGGTTATTGGCGATGCGTTGGTGGGTGTCACACTGGTACGCAACACGTTTAGTACTGCCTTCATTTTTGCCCTCGAACCATGGATCGATCGGGTCGGGATAAAATATGTTCTTGTTACAATCCTGCTGATTGCATGTCTCATCTTGGCGGGATTTGGAGGCTTCATTCGGTTTGGAAAGGGGTTCCGAGAGCGTACTGCTTCACGATATCAGTACTATGCAGCTCGTCAGTACAAGACCAGGGCTTACTATTGAGGGGTCAGATATCCTTCACAGTCTTAAGTTTGACTGAAAAATCTCTTACTATCCTCAGCAGCAATGAATGTAACTTAAAGGGTTCAACTCTGGGCTCTAGCCGTGTAAGTACGGCACCAGCCTTACCCGTCAAGTTGAGCCACAGGTGGTGGACGTCAGCGGACCTCAATTTATAAAGGCCACTGAGTACGCCTGGATGCGGGTGGTATTATGCATGCGTATCATCTGACCACCAGGGAGGTGTTACCAATGTACTACCCGTATTTATAATCAGCCAGTGAAGTCACGCGCTGGGTCATGACAATGGACACTGCGCCCTTAAAACTTGAATTGTGCAGAAATTGGATCAGCGTCTGGCAAATGAGAACATTCCACGTAGATACACAAAGACTGCCCCCTCCTGCGGTTACAAAGTCGTAGGTTGGTAGTATTAACACTCGAAATCATCCCTTCTTTTTCTATACTCTCACAACGATCATTAACGATTTTAAAACTTCGCTATCAAGTGACACTACAAAGACCTTTGAAAATGCTCTGGTCATGCGTAAGTACATATACCTTTGAATGTCTAGTAGGATATCTAAATGTATTGACTTGTGTACAATACAGTCAGCGTGTGGGCAAAGCGGCCTCAGCGTATCAGCGGACGTACTTTGTCCAATTTGCTACCATAGTCGCTGTTCCAATTGCTATATTTACATGGATAATTATTCAGGTACATCTGAATTTGAAACCTTGAAGCGCCCTTCGCAATCACATCAGTCGAGTGCTTCTGGCGGCCATCGGATCCCGAGCAACAAAATGAACACTTCGAACGCAGCATCATCTTCTCGGACACCCCCTAAAGTTGACCCAGGCTCTCCTCTCTGTCCAGACAACGTTCAGATCTATCGCACCGATGAATTCTCTTCGAAAGCGCTGCAGGCTGCAGTGCTCGCTGGAAACATTGATCGAGTGCTATTTTTAGTGGGCAGTGATCGTAATTCCGTTGATACGCATCGTGCTCTGCTAGTTGCTTGTCAGTACGGCAAGGCTCGCATGGCACACTCAATCTTGGGGGTGATCCAACACCACGAGATGAACTATGTGGATGAACATGGGCGCTCACCGCTCCATTATGCTATACATCAAAGCTCCCCGAAAATGGTCGCAAGTCTATTAAGTCATGGCGCCAGCACCCGCGAGGTTTACGGTGATGGTTATAGCCCACTTTCCCATGCTATTCACAAGGGCGACGAAGAGTGTATGAGAGAGATTTTGGTACATTTGAAAACCCGAGGTCCTTCGCATGAACTGGAGTTCAGCAACCAAATGATTTTCCATCCAGCGAAGAAGCTAGTGGTTGAGTTTCGGTGGGAGCTCCCTCATTTAATGGAAGACTTGTGCAGCGAGGATCCGTACAGGGACTTGATGAATTCCATGCTCGATCTTGTTGTAATTACTGGATCTGGCGAAAATTATGACTGTTGCACATGCCGAGAATATCTTTCCAAAACTTGGCCTAGTTTTGGGATGTCGCTATTCAAATTGTTGATGGAAAAGTCCATCAATCCCAACGGGGTAGGAAAGAACCAAACCCTAATGGTGGATAGGGCAGAAATACCTATGTTGAGGGCCGCACCAGACAACTTCATCTTGTTTCTTCCCAGCTCTCAGGAAAACGTCGACATTTGTAAGGCGATATGCTGGATATGCGCTGCCATTCGGCCAAATCCTAATCGCCTCGCATTGCCTCCAAATAAGAGTTTACAACTATCAAAGACTCCAAAAGGCGTTTGGATTGGCGAAGAGTCTTGGGAGTTTGCAATAATTTCATTCACCCTTGAACCATTAGAAGACTTTCTCGATTCGACGTCTCTGAACGCAGGGTGTTGGGCAGATCTCTTCGACACCGGTATTGTTGTTGAATATCCCATAAGCAGACCATGGGGGCGCGGTTTGGAAATGTCTTTCAAAATGATGATTCACCTAGCGGCAGTTGAGAATTATTATTGCTTGGATACTGGAATCATCCTTCTCGGCTATTTCACTGCGCTCGTGCCTATAGAGCAACAACAGGACGGTTGGGGCATACAATGGCATCTTGAGCTCGTGGATGGCAGCAACGATTGCTTGCATCTCTCAGCCCTAACTTCGATTAAAGGAGAGTGGTTTAAAACAGTCGACGAATCAGTACTTGAGGAGTCCGAATGCTTCCTCGGCTGGTCGGAATTTGCAAAAATTGCACTTGGCACGCGGGCTCTCTGTGAACAGCACAAGTTGAGAGCTAGTTGTAATACTTCAGAGCGCTACCAAGTAGCTCGCGCAGAGCGTTTCGAGGTTGGGTTCAAGACTGGCTTCTCTCTCTACCCAATCAACTTCGCGCCAAAGGCAACACATTCGTGGGTTTTCCACTCCACGGTACAACATTTCAATGCGCCTTCGTGCTATATGCAAGCTATTAATCTAAGCCGAGGGAAAGTTGCGCTTGTACTAGACTCGAAAACACAGCAAGCGTGGCTTGTCCCTTTTTTGAGCTTGGCGCTCCACCTATGCCAGCGCTATTGCCAAGAGTTTTCGAAAATGAAATCGTCCCCAATACCATTTGCTCACCTTCAAAGCGATGGAGCCGAGGCTGCCTTCTCCGTTCTCTATAGCAACGGAGACTTGGTCGTCTCCGGCACAAACGAAAATGGGGAAACCCTGAGGTCTCTGTTTTTACGTATAAATAACAACCTGCTGCAAACACAACGCACCAGAGCGCCTTCAAAGCAAGGGCGCATTTTGGCCTCGGAGCTTTTTGATATTATCGTTGAACCCAGCAGAGGCAGTCCCTTGAAGAGGGTTGATGTTCCTGAAACAACAAGAGCATGGCTTCCCCTGGTCGAGAAAGTCGATTGTGTTGGCGTCTGCGCGGATTTAGGTCTCGCAATACAACCAGTGAAACCACAAGGCCGCACCTGTAGCTGCTTCGCTCTCCCAGAAGACAAATTCTATCTAGCAGCACACATGTGGTGCTTAGACCAACTGGCCCAAAAATCAGGCGGTGGGTTCGACCAGATTGCGCAAGGAAAGTGCAGGCTTGGCGAAGGCCTCATTTGGAAGACAGAATGCCTCCAGTGGGCAGACTGCATGGTGAACAACAGGCATGTGCCCGTCTGGGGTGAGAGCCGTGAAACAAGTATCTTGCAGCAAGTTTCCGGAAATCGCAACGACAGCGACTTGCGGTGTTTACAGGGCACTATATGCAACGGTTCGATGAAAAAAGAGGGAGTGGTTGTGTTCGGAGACGAAGAGCAGCCCAAGCGCTTAGAAAAAATCAAGGCACTGGCTGCGAAACTGGATACATTGCTAGATATCTCAGGCACCGAGAGGCTGTTTGAAGCTTAGAAGCAGTCAATAATTTGGTAAACCGGCTTGACAGGATGAGAATTCTAGTTCGCACATGTAAACAGCCAAAAGAAACAACTAACGAGTCAATTCTTGCCACCTTCATTTAATGTTACATTTTGCTCAGGTTTAATTAGATTGCCAAGACTCGTGGTCTGAGTGCTGACACGTCCAACCTCAATCATCCCCTTACTTTAGCAGCGCCCCTAATTCGAGACGCGTTGGCAATCACGCCAAGACACACGGCAATACTAGGATTGGAATGATGGCGAGCGTTCGGTATATGCTGAGGCTCAGCGGCATAATTCTACTCTCAATCGCGCCGATCGCCCTGGCAGACGCGAATATCTACGATGAGCTCAACAAGCTGACACCAAATTTCACGCGCCTCATCAATACGCCTGGCTACAACGTTACCGAGGAATTTCCAGGGAGCCAACTTGATTGGGAGCTCTCAATTCGGCTCTATTCTGACGTGCCTGGCCAAGTCGACGGCGAGGATGATAGATACATTTCCGCAACTCGGTTTTTCTGGGACCCTCCCAGTAGCGTTCCTAGAGGGAGCGGCGGGAGTGTAGATGCAGATTCACGGTTCTATTATTGCATCAGTCCGCTGAAGTATGACGAGCCAGAAGTCAAGGATAGTGACGAGGTAGACCCCAGATGCAACGGTGTGGTTTCAGACGCGTGCTTTCAAGATCTGCAGAAGATGACCAGCACCCAGTCCTGGTGCGCGGTCCTGGATTGGCCCGATTCATGCATGGATCATTCCAAAGATAACTCGCAGTTGCATAGTAAGTAAATTCATGTCTTAGGGCTAGAGCTCGTGTGCTCTCGGACCCTTCATAACTGCAGGCCTAACTTTGCGCCCAGTGTACGGCCGAGTCAATATCACAGAAACTCCAAACTCATTCGTCGCATTCCCAAGCAACCGGGATGGGCATAAGAAAGGAGATACAGAAGACTTCCGCGACGCGTTAAAGACCGTCTGGATTGTCATGACGGGCTTTGGAGAAGCTACGCTTGGTGGAAAGTTGGCAGAAACCTCCGAGGCGAACCTCACAAGCGGAATATCTTGCATTCGCGCTCTAAGTGCCAAGGGAGCATCTTCGATGGGTAACAGCAAGACGAGTTCTATCCCTGCGTTATCTTCTCTAATAGCAGGTCTTCTTGTTACTGCAGTCTCGCTCCTATTGTCGGAGTAGTTGGAACTTATTTCCTAAACACTAAGCACCAGCCTTGCTGGCTTGACTGCAATAGGAAGTTGTGACACCTTTACGTCCGGAGTATCACTGCAGGTTTGTGAAAGTTAGCAAACATAGTGTTCAACTGGGTCAGATCAACTGGCTTACTTCTTCATTTTGTCTGATTTGAGATTCAATAGAGGCCAGCCTAAGACTACCATTATACCCAATTTAAAACCTCCTTTTCTATAACCTGAATACAACATTGAATTATGCACTGATTGATCTAGTCGTGATAATAATCCGAGCTTTCTCTACTCCTGCTCCGCCTCCTGTCATTGGTCTTGTCCTTCTTCATGTCGTCAAACAGCGCTACTGCTGCAAACGTCGCTAAAGCGATTGGGACGTTATCGATCAATACCTGGGCCGCCTTATCAAGTAGCAAAGAGATTCGTGACCATTTCTTGGATGGTGGGACCCTCAGCAGCTTGGGAGGTGCCTTGAGCCAGTGCTTTGGATCCCAAGCTTCCCTCTGACGCTGGGGATCACCCCATCCTTGGTCAACAATGTTATCGAGCAGGTAAACGGCCCAGTCTTGACAATTTCTCGACAGAACACTATACAAGCCGCCACTGTCTCCGTTGCCGAACTTATCGATATGTTTGTTGAAGGCTCGCTTGCTCTTGGCCAAGGCTTTGTGCCATTCTCGGGAGTAATGGTGGTCCAAGAACTCCTCCAACACTATTTGAGCTGCGCAGTTGTGAGAAGATGTGGAATAGGTATTGTGTTTAGCTGAATCTTACTAACCGGTAACAAGTAACTCCTCGAGGCTGCAATAGAGGATGTGCTCTTTGTATCGCCTGACCTTGAGGATCTCGTCTTCGTACATTTTGCGTCGCCAGCGCCTTCTCGGTGTGCACCACACTGTCTGTACGGCCAGTTCTTTCATGCTCTCATCCTTGAAATCCATGCTGCAGACTCGATAGTTGGGCTACATACTCATCTTGTTAGTCGACCATATGGAAGAGAATATGACTTGGATTTTCGCACCTCAGGTACATCCAGCTCACAGAAATAAACGCCCCAATGCGCACATAGTTCATTTAACGGGTCGCCTTTTAACGCCACGTATTTCATTGGCCTGAAAGGCTTGTATGCAATGCCGACCTTCCAAGCCTTTCGTGGCCGGAGGGAGCTAACTTGGATGCCGTCCTTAGACACGATCCTTTTACTTCCCGACCTGCTCATGCTGATACGGAAATCGGGGTCACGGTCCACATCACGCCAGCCAGGTCCTGCGAGGCTGTTGGTAATAGTGATGCTTGTCAACTCTCTAGCCCGATCTCTAGTCGCTTCTGAGCGGTTTTTTGATCGCGCATCAAATCGCCTATTCTGGCCGCGGCCGGTGAGATCTCGCCACCGATCAGGGTGCGAGTGTTCGCCGAGAGCTATCGATGAAACAGAGCCTGGGCTTGACACGCACACAGGCCAGTGGTTCATCTGATGTGCACTCTCCTCACGATATTCGGAGTCTTCCGGGTTTCTCATACTCCAATCGGGGTATCTCAGATTGTCATCCCTGTCTGAAGGGCAGAACTGGGATGTTGACTCATCTTGGCCCAATGCAATTCGTGAGCTGAGCCTTGACGAGGACTCGTGAAGAGTCAAGGCCTGATCTGATCGTACTTTGGGGTGATGCGGTGGGTGATATGGGTATGGAACAGTATGACGATATTTGAGGCTGGGCCTCTCATCGTCTTCCACTTCATCGGGAGGATATGTCTGATGTAACCAATTGTATATCGCCTCAGTGTGGACAGAGTCACGTGGAGGATACGACTCTCCCAGACGACTTCCCCCCATCACTTCCACGTATTACAATGATAAGAATAGATATTAATATGATTAGGTGCCGCCGAGTAAAAATGATGTAAGTAGTTTTGCCACAAAAACGCTAAAGGAGGACCGATGGAGTCTATATTAAATCATCATCAACGACACCCTCTTTTCATCGCCACCATGGGATGAAACCACAATGTGCGTTTTCCAAATATATCCTTCCCCCATCTTGTGAGTGCCTAAAGCTTGTGGCAGTTCACACTATAGTGACGGACCAGATGCTCCCCCAGCCACCCTTCCTCTATTCCTACTAATCCTATACGTCAGTTATTGTTGGGTGTCCTATAGGTCAGATATTGTTGGGTCGTATTCATTGCTCCTGTGCCAATAAGTGTGCCAGCGTGCCGACCCGCCTGCAGGCTATAGATTCTGCCTAGAAAGTAAGGACAGATGGCAGTCCGAATCGGGGATTGATCTGTCTATTGCTTGCCAGCTGAGGCACTGCTCCTAGCTAGGTCTTACTGGCCAGTGTCACGGTTGCAACCTCGGTAGGTAGCTTCTGCCGGTGGACATACCTACTTGACCGACAGTCATACGATGCCTCCGCCATCTAGGTGATAACGTGACTGACTCCTGCAGCTCTGGCTTTTTCCGCAGCAGGACCCGCTCACGAGTGCGCCCAAGCGAAGTATTTCACAAATGTGATGCATTGCTAGCTCGGTCGGACTCTAGGTTTTCGTTGGCCTGCTGGTCCTCCCCTGCAACATTGAGTGGCTCGTATGGTTCCATTGCATGTCGTCTGGGCTCGGCGGCCTCGGGTACATGTAGCATGGCGCAGTCTGAGGGACTTTGGTGGGATTGATTTCGGGCCTAATCTGGTCAGACGCGGGATGCGAGCAGCAAAGGAGGAGCCACACGAGGAGCATGCGGTGTGAGCTCTATGTTCATTTCCACTGGATTTCGTCAAGTTACGCATCTTTGAGAGTCAATTTACAGACAAACGACAAAATGCTCGATACCTTAAGGCGAGCACCAGGTGTGCTTTTCCGCCTGCTGATGCCCATCCATTGGATCAGTTGGGAGGTCAGCGTCGTGCCGTTCAAGGCAATTGGAGAGGCAGACAGCGAGCAGAAGCGTAACAGCTTGATCGAGGCATGGGTGAAGACAATGAGTCATCAGCTTTCAAATGTCATGGTTACTGTAAGGCGGATTGACTCACGAGATCTATTTCTGGAAACAAGACTGACGGGTTCTAGGGCACCATCTTGTCCGGTGTGATTGTTGGTAGCTTCACATGGACAATCTTCGACCAAATGCTTCCTACTGCAATGACTTTAATCCGGATTCTGTGGTACTCAAGCTTGATCCTCTCCATGACTGCTGTAGGCGTGGCCCTGCACCAGAGTGTTTTTCTAGCAAGAATGGCCAACGTCCCTGAGTTCCACGCTGTGATGGTCGACATTCTTTGCTTCGAAACTCCCATGGGACAGATGGAACCTCGCCAGGAACAAGCCTTCATTTGGCTTCTCGCTGTTGGGCTCCTGGAGTGGAGCCTTGGCCTATGGTTCGGGGGCTTTGTGGTGTTCTTGTCGAGCTTGACGAAGATCGGCCAGCAAGACCAAACCTTTTCTGATAGGATGGTAGGTAGTCTGCTGGACCTAGTATTGACTCTTACTGACAACTTGGCCAGGTTACTGGGTTCATGGGTATAGCCGTGTTAATGTCCGCGTTTATATATTTTTTCAGTATTATCGGACTATGGCGAGGGGCCCTCAATTCAAGGCATACCATGAAAATTAAATAAACCATATGAAGCAACGTGATATTTGGGTTCTTTCAGTTTATGTATCCAAGGCTAGTAGTGCGCAAATGTCTCGATAGTTTGATCTTGTGATCATCCCCAAGTCGATGTAGTTGGTCCGGTTCACTTTCATGGATACATGTCTGAGCCATAGAATTTCAGAACAACGAACATCAAGAATGGGGTAAGGTGATCTTTTAAGATGACTGAGTAGGCCGTGGCACATAATCTTAATCTGCACTCCCTTGTTCTGAGATGTCACTCACGACTCCCTTCCGAAAGGACTAAGAGAAAGCTAACACAAGTCAATAAACGTGTAGTTAACACTGAATCGCGAAATAGAGGCTCGCCATATTGGAAGATTGCAAAGACAGTGTAAGAAGTTATATAAATTGATGATAAGTTAATTAATTATGTTCAATATAGAGAGAGAAGAGAGTTGTCCGGCTCTTGGTATAGGGTATTTTGTTCAACAGTGCCCACCCTTTTGGCATTTAATTAAACCAAACATCACGCTCAGACGCTAAACGCGCCCCTGGTCAGAAGACGCGCCTCGAATGTTTACATTATGAAACTATTCCAGTTATTCTCAATTTCCGGCTAGCCTATGAACAGAATAACATTCAACCCCTAGAGTTTGCAAACTCAACACCACCCCTTCAGCATGATGTCCTCTAAACCTGCTGCCGGAGTAAAACGCCGGGCTGCGTGGGACGAGCCGCGCAGGCTCCCCCCGAAAATGCGAGTCCTCGAGTCTCAAGTCGCTGTTAATCAGCTCGCAATGTCTCAACCCTCTTCTCCCAAGACTGCTTCCATCATCATGCCTCCCACTCCCGGCCCATCACCCTCGCAACCGACTTCTTGGGACTGTACTAACGAGAGCGCGGGAGACCCAAGTGATGCTTACCTTCGGAGGGCGCTCTCTAAATGGACCCAAGAGGAGGCTGTTGAGCTCCTGATGTCTCTTGCAAGGAGAGACATGCGGGTGAGGTTAGCGATCGAAAACGAGAACCGCAGGATGGCCAAGACTCGGAAACAAAGTCAGGATAAAGCTCGGGCTTTGAACTTTGACGATATTCTTATGCGTGTGGAACAAGACCTGTACGAGGAAAAGCCCCGATCCTGGAGCTATGAGAGAGCGTTGGATGAAGCCATGGACGTCGCAACCCGCATCACACTCATCTTCCACCGGTTTTCGGAATACCTCTCAACAGACGACCCCTCGGACGTCAAGTGTGGTATCATGGTGACGGTGGCGACCGTCTGGGATCTCGTGATATTTGCACCGTCCTCCGAGGCACGCAAGCAATGTCTCGCGTCGAGTTTGGAGTGGGAGGCAGCTACGCTGAGTCTATGGAAACGGATGAGCGAGCTGGAGAAGAAATCGTTCGCTTCACATGCTGGAGTGGTGGCAACTCTTATCAAGACGGCAACAGAATGGGAGAAACATGGCAAAAGAGAGGAAATGTTCAACCGCTGGTTGCGAAAAATGAAGAAGGCATCGGATGGAACGCTGAGCACCGAGTACGCGGAATGGGATGCACGAACACGACCCTCGAAACCCCAGAATCAACTAGTCGACTTCGGACCAAGTTCACCTCCTCTTGCGAACTTAACCTTGGAGTAGTTGTCACAGCATTCAACGCTGTTGTGACAAATTATCTCACCATTGTGCCGGGATTACACGTCCAGTTCCTCAGGGCCTTCAAGGTCGCTTGTTTAGAGGCTGTGTAGAAGAAAGTCGACACGGAGCGACAACTCTACTATTGCACTTTTTCCAAAGGCTCACCCTTTTAAACCCGAACTTATTATGCGGAAGAGTACATGAACGGCCTCGGCAAGAATCTCTTCTACGCTACTGGTTCTAGGTGTCGATGAACGACAATTATGAAACTACCCTGGGAGAAGGATTGTGAGGCTAATGTGCCTCCTTTACCTTTTTTTGCTCAAGCCCGGCTTCTGCTCCGCCGAGCTCGCCTCCCGAAGCTCCTCCTCAGACCGAGACTCGGCGGAGCAATGGTTAGCCTCCGGCATCTCCCTAGTTCAGTTGCTACACCTCCCGGGTTCAAGAGCAGGGCGTCACTGAGATCTTCCAATGAAAATCTTTTATTTGTCCGAGGTTGTTTATCTATTGCTTTCTACGGACTCTCAATGAGAATGGCGCTCGCTTTTTGTCCAGTCTTGCCCCGCTACCCACATCTTGGTTCTGGAATGATGGGACCCATTGTGTTGTCGGCTGACACTCCTATGCATCGGCATTCACCCTGGTACATGAGAAATAAACTGAATGAAAGTTATCCCCGATCAGATCACGGTGATTGCGGAATTATGACTTATCGCCTGAGAATCTGAGCATGAAAGAGCGCAGATAAATAGACCTTGGAACCGCCAGTTTAGCCCAGAGTTCCGCAGAGTCCCTTATATGCCTACCTACCTGAACATGAAGCCAATCAAAGTCTATAACGGGCCGCCTGGCAGAGGGCCAAATCCCTGGAAAGTCATAATCATCCTCATCGAGCTCGATATCCCCTGGGAAAATGTCTGGATCCCATACAAAGAGATCAAGCAGGCCCCGTATACGGACCTCAACCCCAACGGCCGCCTGCCAGTAATGATCGATCCCAACACCGGGATCACACTTTTCGAATCTGGCGCGATTATCCAATACTTGATTTCTCTTTATGATAAGAAACACGTCATCAGCTACGGTGATGACAAGCTTGAGGAGAAGTGGCTCGTGAACAGCTGGCTCATGTTCCAGATGAGTGGCCACGGTCCCATGCTGGGCCAGAAGATGTGGTTCACTCACTTCCACCAGAAGAAGAATGTCACGACAGCCATTGATCGCTACGCAAACGAAACCAAAAGAATTGTCGGTGTCATTGACTCACAGTTGAGCAAGCAGAGGCAGGCACGCAAAATTCCTGACGCGGAGCCTGTCTGGCTTGTGGGAGATAAATGCACCTACGCGGACCTGTCGTTCGTGCCTTGGGATAATCTGCTGCTATCAAGCTTATTCCCCGATGGCGGCTTTGATCCTGAAGAGTTTCCCGAGTTTTATAAGTGGCACAAGAACGCAATCGACCGTCCTGCCGTACGTGAAACACTCCGGCAACAGGAGCATGCCAACACGACGATGGAGGATACCACTGCGGCCGTGCTGCCTGAACGTGAAGAGTGAGAACTGTAGTTGCTCGATAGATTTTGCCCTCTACAAAAATAAAACTTATTTATGCTACTCTTTGAGTGTTTGATGCCTGGATGCGAAGGAAAAAGCAATAGTATCACCCAACTGAGTGTGAACAGAAGTGCTCAAGTAATGTGCAACAGAGGGACAGTTGTCGTTTTTGCTGTGTTGACGGCATGGAGCTACTCTTAAATGTCGACTGAAACCCGCGTAGTTGACTGATGAACCCTTTGGATGGGACAAGGCAAATTGTCAAGATGCATTGTCATAATGCCTATCTGCTTTGTTGAACTGCCCAAGGCGGACATACATGATAGAAAACAGCGTGCACGATGCAGGCTATGAAATCTGCGGCCCTAAGTAAGAGATTAGCATGCTTCATTTCAAAGCTAAAAGTTAGATTGAGGCAAATCAAAATAACCATAATACACATACCAGTGTATCCAATGGAATCCAGGGAAAGAGCTTCCAATATATGAGCCGAAGCATCGGGCCGGGTTCATACTGGCCCCTCCGTAGCCATATCGCGTGAAGCCTGTTCCAAACGAAAGGCTACCAAGTGCAATGCCTACTAGGAATGGGCCAAGGGTAGGTCCTATAATGTTCCTCTGCCGGGGATCAAGACCGACGCCAAAAGCGAAGAAAAGTAAGATGGTGCAAGCCATCAACTCTATGGTAAATGCGTCCCAGACCGGCACAATATCAGTGTAGACCCAGCACCCTCCAACCTTGAACTCTCTAGTACCATAGCTTGCGCGAGCAAGCAAGCCCCCGAGCGCTGCGCCGCCAACCTGAAAGGAAACGTAGAGTACCGCCCGAGGCAGAGAACATAGACGGGCGAAAAGTGTTGCAATCGTGATTGTTGGGTTTAGATGGGCTCCTGACACAGCACCAAAGCAGAAGGTGAACATCGTGATGTATAAGAAGTTGAGTAAGCCGCCAACCAGAGGTCCGATGAATGATGCGTTGTCGAAATTACCCCAACGCTGCGTAGGCGTCGCCGGAATGATGGCGGGGGATGCATTGGCGTAAATAGTTAACCAGACAAGCATCAAGGATCCTACAATGCAAGTCAGCCCAAGACTATCAAAGATTGATAACGCTCTTCTTACCGACGCCCTCCATTAATGCTGACTTCCATAGGCTGACCGTCAGAAAAGGCCTAGGGTTAACAATGTCCCTCAGGCTCATCAAAGGTGCCGCATCAGGAACCTTCTCCAGGAAAGCCTCATTGGAGGGCTCACGGGACAGAGCGACGCCATTTGCTCCAAGCCTGCCAATGAATGGGGGTATATTGATCTCAAAATTTCGACCACTTTCCATCCTGGATCCCGCCAATGCTGCCAGACCTTCCGGATCGGGTCCGTTGGTTTCGGGTGCTCTGTGCCTTTGATTCCCAGCCATGCTGAGGTTTCGTGGATAGGATGTTGTCCGAACTTATTTGTTGTGCCTTGTTTTGATGATGACGAGGATAGTACACTGTACCATCACTGCCTTTGGTGTTTAGGTTGGAAGATTGTTGATGACAAATGAAAGACTTCTGTATAAAATTTAAGATCATGCTTTCTAAAAGAATAATTGGAGATAGAGTTTCCGAGCCGAAGGGCTACAATTAGTACTTGAAAGGCGGGACGGAGTCTCGGCACACACCGCCACGATCGGCACACTGTAGGTACCAAATAACTTAGTCTATGCTCGGCTTCTGAAAATGACCGGAGCTCCCGGTTACTATTCAGCCGCTTCATAGAGGTCTACCTCTTGGATGCAGCACAGTGACAGGCACATCTTGGCTTCAGGTTGTGGGTCATTAGTCAAAGCTTACAAGTGCCTCTGAGTATAAGTAAGATTTTATAATTACTGAGTCTTTAATTAGGTAATCTTAAACCCATACTATTCATTAGTAAGGCAATTACACTTGTTGCCATCCAAATACCTGTTTTGAGTCTGGTTACATTTCTCCTTTATTCCTGTGCTGTGGGAACTATCAGTTGGCTACAATGGCTACCTCTCCCGATCCTTATGCGTAGACATGATGTTTGTTTCTATCACATCCCAGTTAGCCATTTAAGCTGCTTTCTATATCTGAACTGAATAAAATTCTTCGGAAGTGCTAAGGGCAGAGTGTGCTAGTTGGTATCGCCAGTCCTTGAATACACTGAGTCAACCCATAACCCTCCATCATTCCCAAATTGAGACACAGGGTGTGGAGGCTCCCCTAAGACCCAGCTGTAGTAAGTTTCTGAATTGCAATCGGGCCACGCCATGGCAGAAATGTTCGGATTGGTTGCGTCGTCGAGATCAATAGACTCCCAATTCACAACTCCAAATGCATCAACATCCGGAGCAAACCTAGAAAGTGGATAGTGTGCCGATATTTTTGTGCTTTCATTATTATCCTCTTCATTCTGAGACTCAGAATGCCCGTGGTGATAGGCTCTTGCTGAGCGAGCCCTCTTTAGTAGTCTACCGAGGGGCTTGTAGAGGCCACAGCTGTGTACATCCAAGTCTGTCAGTGGACAGCTGTCAACGTCTCCCTGGCAAGAAGAAGCCGAAGAAGAATGAATCTGGTGACCAAGCCGAAGGACGCTATCGACTGCATCCCATGCTCTGTCTACTGATTCACCGGAGGTCCGCTCACATAGTTCTAAGAGCAGGAAGGTCAAAGCGTACCACTGGAAATACGTCTCACAAAGCCATCTCCAACGACGGGTGCTTTCCTCTTGGTTCAAAAGCACCCAGTTTTCGATGACTGCGGTTGAATCGGCAAATAGACGATCTTTTGTACTGGAGGAGAAGCCGGCAGAATGATCTCTTTTTAGGTAGGGATGATACGCAACAAGCCGCATTTTGGTGAACACTATGGCGCAGATAGTTGATGTGAACCAGGCAAGTGGATTCGAGAGATCCAGATGCTTCAGGTACAGCTCATGGAGTCGCTTCTCGATACCGTATATCGCATCTGTCTTATCCTTGAGACACTGTGTTGCAGACGGCCTTTCACTCTTGCCTATGGAACCCGATGATATGTCCTGTAGATTTTGGAAAACCTGTACTGACTCAAACCGAACGACACTGAAAGTCATTTCTGTAAGGCCGACCCGAGGCTGTGGAAGATGTTTCATACTTGCGTAAAGGTCTGAATCGTTGACATTGAGCGGTAACTGGGTATCAACCTTTCCGAAAGGAATCATGGTGTCGTACCCAGTGTCCTCAGATGCCCGGGAATCGAGGACGCATATGCTCCACCAGAGTCTCCTTCGCATTTCCACCATGAACGGAGGCATTTTGAAGTGAGTTCCATCACGGTGAATGCCGGCATTAGTCGCAAGCCGCACCAAGAGCGACGTCAGAGTTGACATGGCACGCGCACTGCCATGGATCCTCAGTCCGGTTAGATAAATGGCAAGGGCTTGCAAGGTAATGACCTCGTCGGTTTCAAGAAGCCCTGCCTGGACCAAGGCTTGGTCGGTACCCAACCGGAACACGTGGGTAAGAGTCGCTTTGTCGCTTCCCAGGAGTTGCAGGCATTCGCTGGGCGACAGACTTACGACAACAGCATAGTAAACGGCCATCATTAAAGCTTCGAGTCCTCTGGGTATGTGACCAAGTTGATGTGACGCCCGAAGAATGAGTGGCTCCACTGTTGGTACGTGCAGAACCTTGATGAGTATATCACAGTTCTGCTTGAAGAGCCCCCAGTAAGTTGGTATCTTCTCTGGGGATGGGTGCATCTGCGAGAGGTTCTGGAACGGAGAACCAAAACCTAGCATGCGAGCATGGGTGCTCGTACAATTGTCTGGTACCATGTCTGGGTACCATTGTTCTGCTTTCTCGGATGGGCTCTGTAAGAGGCTCTTGAGGTCTTGGACCTTGACACCAGGGTCAATAAGGGGCAATCAAACAGCAGAAATGAGACATCAACATACCTCATCGTCTAGGCTAGCCCAAGAGCTACCAATAATGTATCTACTCCTCCCATTTTCCAGAGCCAATCTCCCGAGGTCATTACCCAAACTGTTAATATCGTCGACAGACGGGATCGGATCAGACTGCGACGTAGAGTCTGTGTCATCCCAAGTTGGACTGTGGGGAGGAGACTCATCAGAAGCTAGCCGCTGGGCCAGCTCAGGGCTGATATGTTTCTGCATGCGATTTATGGTACCTTCAAGTCGTCGCAGTCTCTCCATAATGACAAAGGACGGCGGCTGCCGGGCTGATTGGCGTCTGGGAACATAGAGGCATTCGGTCCCTAGCCTCTGACAATTTGAGCAAGGGGAGGTCCTGTCACACTTTTTCTTCCTTCCCCGGCATGGAAGGCATGAATAAGGGTTCAGTGTGCGTGGAGTTGGGGGTGACAACGAGGATGGCTGAACACAGTCATCTGGTCTCGAGCTGGCGTCTGGTTCTTGGAACATGATGCCCACAAATTGGAACGGTTGTCTAGGACAAGTCCGCGTACTGTTGAGAAGCGGTGTTTGTCGGACACCGCTCTCTTGGCAACTTCAATGTTTCTTGAGATGGGATTGGAGTCGACAAAATATGGCATGGTGGATTACCAAACCGGTGTCCTTGCCCCCCATAGATTATTAGTGCTGACACCAGTATTTCCGAGCGGGGTCTTGGCAAAGACCGCCCCTACTGGAACCTAAGCCGATCAACTTTCCCATCGTGTTGTCTAATTCCAAATATGCTCCTGGGTGGATGGGGAAAGTACTCATAGGTGTGGAGGTCGTTACGGTAGTTTCTAACCTTTACAGTCAAGACCCGAACTGGAATTTAGGACTCGGCCGTGAATGCCGGGCGGTTTACACTGGTCTATTGGAAAGAGGATACCTGGAAGAGTGGCGCTAACTAGATCTCATTGTATCATAAGTCTTGCCCAGTCGGCCGATATCACCGCTCTGTTCACCATGGCGTATTAAAGCTACAAGTTGCGGCAGACTAGGCATATCCTCTTCTTCTTACACCTACAATCTGAAATCAAAGAGTTCCTGTCATAATGGCTTCAAAGGGTGGTGCTGACAAGCTTCTGCACCTGGTACGGCTCAGGCGCACATACTACGCACTGAACAAGCGTTTGACTATTCCCCGGCCTCGTGTCGAGCATATAGTCAAAGAGTCGCTTCTTCATGTGCCAAGCAGCTTCAATTCGCAGTCGACCCGGGTTGTGGTTTTGTTCGGAACAGACCATGAGAAGTTATGGGACATAGTAACAGACGTTCTCAAGAAAAAGGTTGCCGAAGCGAAATGGGAACCGACAAGTCGCAAGATGGCCATGTTTAAGAGAGCTGCGGGCACTGTAAGATCGAGACTTTGTTGAATATTCTTGGATGTCCGAGTTGTTACTGATAGTGGGAAGTATTAGATCATGTTCTTTGAAGACCAGACAATCGTAAACGAAAGCGTTGCCCGTTTCCCGTCGTATGCCCAGCATTTTGGCACATGGGCAACGCAGTCAGATGCCATGTTGCAGTACACCATCTGGCTTGGGCTCGAGGCAGAAGGGCTTGGCGCCAATCTACAGCATTACAATCCAATCATAGATGACAGAGTGGCTGATGAATGGAAGATTCCCGTAAATTGGAGATTGAATGCTCAGATGGTCTTTGGTGGTTATGAAGACACCCCAACCGAAAACAGTCTTATGCCCCTCGAGGAGAGATACAGAGTCTTCCAAGGCGATGCGGATTAATCCATGGACACGAGGGCTACCTTTGAGTATAGATGATTTGGTTGGCTATTTCACAGGTAGAACTTGTTCTAGCTGTGGTACAGAACTATACATAAGTATCGTTGTTGAATAGATGATTAACAAAGATTACTTGTGTCATCTCTGGAATATGATATCAGTTACTTTGAAACTGGTTACTTCTTAAATTACACGGGGTTTGTATAAGAGGTGAGTGAACTTTGCGGGGTGCACGTAATGGAACCGTAAGAGTCGTAACAACTTATAACCTGGAATTTACTCAAGTACTTTCAACTTTCTCAACTTTATCCATATATGATATCCTAATATGTGGAATTCAATCACAATCTGATGCAAAATGCTATCAATTACTTATAAGGATCTATCCATCTCGTTCCAAAAATCACATCTCTTTACTTGAGCCTCTGTTGTAGTCTCCATTCCAAGTTCCCCCAGCCTTACTAAAAGCTTTGAGCGGCTGTTTCCGCTTCCCCAGTGTTCCCAAATAGGTGCACTAGGATCCTTATGCGGATTTGGGGACAGACTACGCACAAATGATATCCAATAGTTCATAACTACAGGAACCAAAGGGGCATTATAGGTCGCGAAGCTGGCTGGCGGCTGGTATCTTCCCAGGATCTTAGTACCAGAAGGCCCAAAAATGAGCCCTTCTTCGTAACCATGAGGGCAACCCAGTCCCATGGCGACGTATACTTCATCATATACATTCATATGGTATGACCATATCTTAATAGTCTCGGAAGAATTCAGCTCATGGCTTTCATCGAACTTCTCCGAGGCGTCTAGAATGGCTAGAGCTGGACATGTAAAGGTAGATTCACCATACGCTTGCTCAGCAGATGGGAACCATTCGGCGTGTTGTGGAACTGGTTTCTTCTGCGGGTAGTACTCGGTGATCTCGGTGATCTTAGTCTTTGATAATCGAGGATAGTTGCTGTCTATGAACAGACGTACTTCTTCCTCGGTTGACGCATTTGCAGCGAAGTAAGCTCCCTCTGCATTATACTTGTTAGCCAGGCGGACGAGATGGATTTTGGTTCTCATTTTTAGGACCAACCATTTTCGTTATTCCCGATGATCATCGGGACTTTGATGAATTCTCCTCTATTGTACATGTCCAGAGGCTTGTCCGGAATAAGGTCTCCATCAATGCAAGGTGTCCACGGCCAGACCGGCAGCGGTTGCGATGGACCGCCGGGAAACGGAGTCGCGACATTACCTCTTTGAAGTTCTTCGGTTGTCTTCTCGCGCAAACACCGCATTTGTAGCTCGGCATTACCTTCACTACACCCGACGGTCTGAATAAAACGGTCATACTGCCACTCCACCTCTGATGCGAGCGGCTGTGTGGGCATGAAGGTCGACTCCATTATAGCACCAGCGAAGAGTCGGGTATTGGCAGGATTCAGGAGGTGAAGAGCGACTGAACCGGCACCCGCGGAGCTACCGTGAATGACTACATGGTCTGGGTTACCACCAAACTATTTCAAGCTCGGTCAGTAGTCGACATCGCAAGGAGGATATACTACATACCTGGTGGATGTGATCTTGAACCCATTGTAGAAGCGCTATTTGATCTAAGAGGCCGGCATTCAAATCGCCAAATTTTTCAATATGTTGGCCAGCTAAGAACCCATAAACGCCCACGCGCCAGTTAAAGTTGACAAGAATAATGTTGTTGTTGGACTTTTCAACGACCTCCGAACCGTTGTAATTGGGACTGTAGTTGAGGTTGAAGCCTTGGGATCAATTAGAGAAAGTGAAATCAAAGAACAAGTCTGTACGCACCTCCACCTTGGATAAATACCCACACTGGGAGCTTAGATTCACGTGTTGCGTTTGATGGGCGCCAAATGTTGACGAAGAGGCAATCTTCTGAGACGCCAACGTCTACTGTCTCATTCGTTCCAATGCAGTAATCTCCAAACTGGTTGTCAATACTTGTATCAGTAATGTGATTGCGAACAAATCTCTCCCGTCATAAGTGATCACCTACTGAAGTAGCTCGCTGTATGTCAAATTGATGCTGAGGTGGCTGTGGAGCACGAAATCTGAGATCTCCCAGAGGCGCCTCGGCATAACGTATTCCAATGAACTCGTCAACTTGATTTGAGAGTTTTGTGCCAACATATGTGGCATAGTCTAGCTCGACCTTTGCGGAAAAGGTGTTGGCTGCGTGACATCCGGAGCCTACTACCGCGGCTATGGCTATGACTGGCCAGATCATGGTGTCACCAAAATAATTCAGACATGAGAAGTAACCGAAGACGGCCTTCTCATTAGTGCATTGTCTTGGTGTTTGCCTTTTAAGTTACTCTGTAGAACACCTGAAATCTAGGTGACTGCATTGCTGTCAGATACTTCGATCTTTGGTTGAGCCAAGTGGGGCCGGTCGGAGTCTTGGCAAATGCCACTCCGCCAACTGCAACTTCTTCTTGTAAGCCTTCGTTTTTGTCAACAGCGCCTTGAACACGATTATCCCCCACATGCGCGCAGTAGCGACCACGATTCAAGATCTTTGTAATATGTATAAGCTGTTTCTAAGCATCTGTGACGAATGGATTAATCATATATGGAAGTGGAAAAGATGGTGTTGACAAGTGTATATATCAAGCGCTCCTCAACAATCATGAGACCTAAACAAAGCTCTTCACAAGACTTTTACCATAATCCTCTTGTTTTTAAATATATTCCAATTACCACCATTCATCGCGCCACCTATTCACCATGTCTTATCATAGCCGTTTAACCAGGGAGAACGCAGCGCTCCTCATCGTCGATCATCAAGTCGGCCTATTTACTGGCGTCCGAGATATCGATACTTTGACTCTCAAGCACAACATCGTAGGCTTAGCCAAAGCCACGGCGGCTCTGAAAGTCCCCATCGTTGTGACAACAACCACAGAAGGACTATGGGGCCCTATGATCCCTGAGCTTCAAGAAGCACTGCCCGGTATTGACCGTATCGAACGAACTACCGTCCAATGCCTGGGATGATCCTCGAGTGGTCGCTGCCGTTGAGGCGACAGGAAGGAAGAACTTGATTATCACGGGCATTTCGACAGATGTCTGCCTGGCATTACCCGCCTTGTCGGCATTGGCTGCTGGCTATACAACGTATGCCGCCATTGACGCGTCCGGTGCCTTCACCAAACAACAAGCGGATGCGGGAGTTATGAGGATGGTGCAGGCCGGCGTAGTTCCTGTCTGTTACTCGAACGTCATTGTTGAGATACTTGCGGATAACGCAGCTGCTGAAGCCAATGCTGTCTACGCTGCCTTGGACATGCCATTTGCGGGGCTTGTCGGTGGCCTCAATCAATACTTCTCGAACAAAAACTGAAGTCACAGTCATATTGCTTGAACTATAAATCCTCTATGCAAGAAGAGTTTCAACTTGTTTCTGTGGTCTATCTTTGTATTCAGAGTTTTAACCATAGCAATAGCTCAAGAATCTAGACGTACGATTGAGACTCTTAATTGATCCCACACAAGATGCTTTGGGACTAAATGTGACACCATCCATATCATTGTAATAATGATTTGACCCGCCTGTCATAGGATAGGAAGTGCACGGCAGAGATAGAGTATCACTAGGGGGTCTGAGATCTCGTAGGCTTGGGCTTAGCAAGGAGCTCTTTAGCACGGAAACATGAATGACTCCTCGCAACACACGCACCATGAAATACCGACATGCCCAGTTCCCATATGGAAGTAAAAGGCGAAAACGACTGCGAATCTGAAACGGCCTTTAAATTATTTCACACATCGCCGTCTCCGAAGCCATCTCTGCGCTAAAGGATTCGTCGGTCCACTTCTTAAAATCCGTGTCCGCGCCCGTGTCCGTGTCCGTAGGAAATGAAGGCTCGGTAAAGGATCAACCACGCATCATATAAATTGGGTTCTTCCCCTGTGTGAACTGGGTATTCACGAAAAATGGGAAAGGTTTTGGAGAATCAATCCAATGCGCCCAACGTCACGAAATAATATCCAATACCACACACTACAACATGTTTCTGATCCTCCTTGCAGCGATGCTCCTCTCTATGACCGCCATGGGAGCACCAACTGCTGAAATTGGACATTATGTGAAAATCTTCGAACGTCAAAATTGTGTGGGCAGCTTTTCGCATAGGACAATATTTCCTGGCGAATGCGTGGACGCTCCCGCCGGTAAATCAATCGTGGTGTCTCATCCTGGAGGTACAAACCTGGTTGGCTGGTTAGAATCGGGCTGTCTGGGGGAGAAAGTCCATCAAGTAGCCCTGGGAATGGCTTGCTACAATTTCAACGAAGTTCATACGGGAAGCTGGTCTGTTTTAGCTTGAGCAACAGTTGCAGGGCCAGCCCCGGGCAGCCTTTGTCATACCTACATTGGAGTCCTGATGGCTCATCGCGGTGATATAAACCAAAACACCAGCAAAACCACCACATACGACCATACCTACTAGGCAGCACTGGATCCCGTCTGCTCTCCGCACGTTAAGCTAGTAAGGGGCCGATTAGTAGTTGGGTCGGTGACGACCAGCGAATACCGGCTGTTGTATGTTCGTTTTTTGTTGCTGCCACTAGCTACGCGGAGCTGAAACATGTTCCGAGACTTCTGGCGTAACATGAGGCAGGCGATGGATGTTATGCCCTAAAAGAGAGGTCAGGCAGCCGGTGTCCGACGTGCGAATCGACATTCAAGCAGTAGGAATCTGAAACGATCTGGCGTCCTTTCACAAGAACTATACTGTTCCCTCTGGATAGGGGTTTCGGTCCTAATTATCTTTTTCTGCCTACGATGATTAGGCCAATAGAGGTAATATAGTTGGGTCAGGTGAACAGGCCGTATGTGATCGCCATGATCTACCCCTTCTGGGTCTCTGGGATATCAGGGCTTTCTTGTTTACAAATCGCATAATAGAGGTCATTTACTTGTATATCTCTAAATGAAAACCTCATCTATGCATACTCAGTTTGGAAAACAAAGCTCTATTCTTATAATCGTCTTGGGTCCAGATATTTATACCTAAATTCCAGATGATCCAAATAGATTCCAAAGTTTGATTTCCCTTGTCTCCTAAAACCTTACTGAGGCGAAGTGTACAGGGTAGTAAGTCCACTGCATAAGTGCCCGACAAGACGGGACTGCCATGTTCAAGACAAATTCTTTGCAGGAATATGATTACCGTCCTGCACGATACGTGGCCCACATGTTCCTTGTTCTGAGGCCCTGTCCCGGGGTGAATTTGTTCCAGCAAGATTGCCACGCACTGCTCATAAAATTGTCCGTTGGGTCGAGTCCAGGGAGGTCAGGGCATGTATCTCGGCCAGGCGGACAGTTCAAATCTGGCCCGTTCTCAGTTATGAACAGCATGTGCACAGGTGTGTCGTCAACCTATTGACGCATGAGTCAGTAACTTGATTTCTTCTTTCCAAGACTTAGTAACTCACAAAGTCGTTGTCGCCGTTGGCGCATGAAAGGGGATAGTTGCCACTTTCGATATACCTAGCACTAGTCAGCGATAGTCACCGAGGGAAAGAGTTATACAGACTCACGTGTGCATAAGGCCCATCCAATGTCCCACTTCATGGTTGGCAAGATCACCCTCAGTGTATCTCTCTGGAAATGGCACATATGAGGGGCCGATGCCACCAGGAAGCGTGTTCGCATTTATAACAACACCATCCAGCTTAAAGTTGTCAGATCCTGCCTCATAGTCACTAGGTGGGGTTCCAATCTGTGATATCGATGTTAATACTTGGCTAGCCTTCAATATCGACTAAGGACGAGTTTGTTCTTCATCCTCAACTTGGAACAATATTGTTTAGGTAAGGAAGACACTTACGCCTAGAAGGCCAAACCCATCGGTCAATAAGACGGTATACAAGTTCAAGGTACTGTAACCACCCTGTCGAAGGGCAAATTTCATCTCAGGCCATAGGTCAAAGTTGACCCTTGTCCAAGTTGGATTTTCCGTATAGGTTGTGTTGATGTGATCAAATGAAAAGCCATGCGGGTTCCACGCTTTGTTGAGCACGTCAATTTGCGCATCGATTTGACTCTTCTATATATAGAGATATGGAAGTCAGTAACCATAACCCGTGTCGAGTGTAAACATCGATATTTTTCAATCCATACCGGAATATAGCCTCCTTGCTCGGTCTGGTTGGCATATACGACATGGACGACGGTAGGAATAACAGTAGTGTCGATTTCTCGGACTTGATGGACTTGAAGTTGCTCCTTTGCTCTCATTTCGCGCGCCATGGCGCGAAGAGACTCAGATGGCGCTGGGGTGCCGCATCGAGGATCGTTCACACTGGGTATGGGTGTGAGTAACTCAGCAGCCGCACACGAAACCAGTGCGGACCAAATATTAATATAGCGCATTGTGGCCGTCGTTGATTAGCAAAATCAAGTTTCTGGGGGATTGTCTTGGATTCGGGTGTTTGCTAAATTGAAGCCTGTGAAGGAATGAGTCGAATAGGCGCTTGATGTGCGAATATATATAAGAAAAAGAGTCTGTCTTGCTTCGGGTAGCGATGCTCGATCCTATACGCCTACTCCCCGATGAATCCGAGTTTCACTTAGCTAGGAACAGGACATTCAGCTATGTTGCTAATTTACACCTACCTATTTGGACATTTTCAGTAAGCGCCAAGCGTGGGATAGACGTCGAGTCATGTTAAAACACGAGATGTTGAAGATGCCAAGGCACCTCTATACTATTTAGGTTACGGTCTGGAGTAGACGATATGCCCGGAGTAATCAACGTTACGTATCCGGCGTTGATCTTTCTATAAAGGTAAGAGGGTGAAAACTGAGATGCATCTTAGCATCATGGGAGAGACAAATTCGCCCCCCAGTCGCTTAGCTTCACCGATCTATCAGCCTTCAATACGAGCTCTTGTTGCTACATAGAGCGTAGCTGTTCCACGCTAACATGGGGGACAAGGACAAGGCTCCTGGCTCGAAGCGGTAACATTCTGGCGATGGTAGTAAGCGGGAACAGACCGGCTTCCTTTCACATACGACCACACCTACCAGAGAAAACTGGATCCCGTCTGCTCTCCGTGCGTCAAGCTGGTAAGGGGCCGATTAGTAGCTGGGTCGGTGACGACCAGCGAATCCCGACTGTTGTATGTTTCTTTGCCATTTTTTTACTCTCTCGAATAAATGGCGGTGAGGTATCCTCAAGGAACTGTCTGGCGGAATATGGGAATATGGTAAGTGGAAGTGGGCTTATTGTACTTGCACAAGCATGGGCCTTCACTTTTGTCACAGTTCTATGTGCTTGCTCACTCGACTGCTCTATATGTTCTAATAACACTATAACTATGAATGTCGATTTGCTTCGCATTATGAATCCTATTCTCCAGATAGGGGAAAATATATCCTCAATTGTTTGAGTTGAGAATGGACCATGGGATCTCCCGCCATAGACCCATGCTCGATCGCCCTCTGCATAGGCTCGTAGAGACCCTTCGTTTTCAACTGGGAACGTAAGCACCAGCAAAGATGCCGCTTGCCTGTTGTGTATGTTGCCTTTAGCCGTTGGGAGTGCACCGCTACGACATAGTTTTTGATTCACACATGTTTGTTTTGCGCGGCGCCTGCCACAACACTCTCCTCGCCGATCGTGATCAGAGCGCACCTAGAGCCTTTCTGGTAGAGCTCTTGCGTGTTTCTATGTCTTGTGCAAGTTTATTCCGATCTATGTTGTTGAGTTTCACGTATTGCCTAGACATCTCTACTGGGAAATGGTTGGAACATGCATTCACTAACGAGCCGTCGCCCTTGAATAGTTATAAGGGAATGCCATCTCTGTCCGTAGATGTTGCATATTCGAGGCTGGTAAAGGAAGCTAAAGATCTTAGTTTAGGTAGGTTAGGTTCATCACAGCCTGTTTTGTGTCTCTATCTGTATTGGAAATATGTCTAGTTTGGCCTCCGCCTTGCACCTAAAATCTTGAACATCAGATACGAGAGGTTGGTCTCTTCCTCCCCTCTCATTGATTGGTATAAGAGTATGAAAATGACAAATTGCGTCACACTTACAGTAGGAAAGAAAAAATAAGAGGTCGGAACTTTGTGTCATGTCAATTCCAGAAGACGAACCTAAAATTAGGTACCTAGGTAGTCTGACTTTCCATTACCCGCAGAAGCTTAATTAGCAGGCAATATCTTCTCAGTGAGCAAAGAATATGCAGCCTGAAGACCAAAAAAACTCTGGAGGCTGGTTGGAATGCGAGTGCAAAACATTCCAATCGGATGCCCGTCGATGACGAAGAGTCCAGCCATTGCATCTGCCGTGACTAATGTATAAATAGAGGGTCTTTCTCCTCTCAGGAAGGAATTCGTTGCAACTAACAATCGGATCATTTTATTACTATTCTTCCACGTCTTTCGTACCCAGTTCCAGTATCTACTCATCATGATGTTTGGGTTCCGAACACCGACTGCAGCTTTGCTGGTCCTACTCGCCACTGCTGCCAACTCTCTGCCATCACCAAGCGACTGCACGGTTACTCACACCGTCCTCTTTGGGTACAAGGCCAGCCTAGACCCTCAGATTATCAAAGCGGTATGTTACTATCCCTCAAGTTAATTTAATTGAACATTTCATAGAAACCGTTTCACCGTGTTGGGCAAGTTTTGCTAATACATGTCAGTCCGTCGCACAATTTTTGGCCCTTAAAGAGGGCTGTGTGAATCCCGAAACCGGCAAACCGTATATTATTTCGCTGAAGGGCGGTCAAGACAACTCTCCTGAGATGTCAGAGGTAAGTTGACTACTGTCGTGACTTACAAGTTCATCATGCGGATCGATTTAATCTAACCCGATGACGAATGACAGGACGGCGCTACACACGGGTTCGTCGTAGAGCTGCCCTCACCCGAAGCTCGTGATTATTACGTCTTCCAGGATCCTGCCCATCAGCAGTTCAAGGCGGATGTCAAGAATCTCATTGACAAATCTATCATTGTTGACTTTATCGATGGTGTATACTAAGACGGTTGATTGAGTGTTGGTGCAGTAGAGCTTGAGTCTTCGCTTACCGTCTACCTACCTGCTGCTGCTCAATCAACTCAACTACTACAACCACCATCTGTTGGATAAGCACTCACTGTTGGTAGATAGGATAATAAAGAGAAAATGCGGTCAATTTAAAGAAAGGCGCCCTCTCGTGGTGGCCTTAATAAGCTATTTTCTATTTGGAATTTCTATTCAGAGTCACTCATATCTAAGTTCCTTCTCGTACCATTATCTTTGCAGGTGAACTTGCAGAAACTTACACATCCAGCGAATCCATTTCGCTTACCCTATTGTGCATCATGCGTTTACGCCCAAACGCATGAGGTTAGGATCTGCAGCATGGTGGCACTCCTCTTCTATTGTGAATTGTTCGTGATTGATTAGTACACGCATAGCGCTATTGATGAATGTTTGCAGAGTCAAACTAATCTATGGCCAGCGACGCTACAGTCTTAACTATAGGCCAAACACTCTGTGATCAATAGCCAACTGTGGGCTGAGCAACGAGCTAAGGATGCGTTTAGATAAGTAGTTTCCACTACTGCAAGCCATCGACTTGGAGCCGGGTCACCAATTGTTTTGCTGGGCTATAATAAGCTGTACCATGTTATGATCGACCAACGGCCATACCCTTGTGGGAGATTTCCAGCGCACTGTATTTCCCATTACAGTAGGTCTTTGAAAGTCGAAACATCCCTCGTCTGATGCCTCGAAAAGAGGAGTAAAAGTGGAGCTTGCCTCGTGAATATTAGCATGGGTTTCGTGCCACTCTTGAATTGTGACGTGGTGCTTTGATTTCTTGTCCTCTTTGATCCTCAACAGTGCACACGCTCAGCATCTTCTGGTCTCGGATTGCCACATCTAAGAGAAGCAAAGCCATGTCTGACACCAAGCCTAACCCGCCGGCGGCCGAGGCTGCTCCGGAACAGTCTTTGACTGCCGAGATCTTGCCAGACGATGACCCGGTACGGTGGTTTTCACGCCACTCCAGCTCTCTCCCCCTTCTCATCTTCCCGGCACATGCCATATTCTAACACACCGCAGGAGGTCACCGACGACGATTTGTCTACCAATGCGACGGAGTCTCTCAGTTCTAGTGTTCTGGCCTACCGAACAATCCAGGGCAGGACGTATCACAGCGAGCGGGGCAACGCTCACTACTGGTAATATATCTCTCAATCTCTGCTTACTATTGCAGGCGCTGTTTCTGCCCATGTCGCAAGCTGCATCTAAGCAAGTCAACTAACGCGCGTAAACCCACAGGGGCTCAAATGATGCGCTGCAAAACGAGTCCATGGACATCAAGTATGTTGGCACTAGCTCCTAAAGAGCTATTGATATTGACAATGACAGCCACCATCTTCTCACGCTCGCTATCGATGGAAAACTCCACATGGCACCAGTTAATAAAGACATCGAGGTTTGTATATCTGTCTGTGAACTTGATGTCATTCCACTCTGACAAAAGCCAATTCATAGAAAGCCGTTGATATCGGAACCGGAACCGGAATATGGGCGATGTACGCGTATCCATCTATCGTTTTTCAAATATCCAGCTTAGCTAACGGGCACATAGAGACTTTGCAGATGAGCATCCTGCTTGCAAGGTTATCGGCACAGACATCTCTAGGATCCAGCCTGACTGGGTACCGCCTAACTTGGAATTGTAAAATCGCATACTTGGCTCTCCAAGTCGACCCTTCAACTAACAAATCTAAATTAGCATAATCGATGACTGTACGCAAGAGTGGACTTTTCCGCCCAATTCGATCGACTTCGTCCATATGCGATACCTGACAGGCAGCTTGCCGGACTGGGACGCCTTGTTCAAGTCGGCATTTACGTGCTGTAAGCCAGGAGGTTACGTGGAGAGTTTCGAAGGAGCACCGTGGCTGGAGAGCGACGACGGTACAGTCTTAGAATCGAGTGCACTGGCAACATGGGGGAAACTCTTCGTCAAGGGCGGAGAGAAGCTAGGACGGACCTTCACCGTTGTAGACGAGCAGCTCCAGAGGAAGGGCATGGAGGCCGCCGGCTTTGTCGACATTAAAGAGTTCACCAGAAAGGTAATGTTTTCCTCGACATTGTTAGCTTTGGCTGTTGTTGAATGTCTCGTTAATACCTGCCGATCAGTTGCCCTTGGGCACATGGGCGAGAGACCCCAAGCTGAAAGAAATCGGCCGCTTTGCGCAGGCGGCCTTGGAGAAAGACATTGAAGGCTATGTGCTATATGTGGCCAACCTGCAGGGCTGGTCCAAGGAAGAGCTTGCCGCCTATTATGAGAAGTTCTACCGGGAGATGAAGGACAACAAAATACACTCCTACTTCCGGATAAAGGTAGTTTGGGCCAAGAAACCGAGCGCGTAAAAGTTTCTTTGGACTTCGTCGAAAGAGTGAGTGTGAGGAAGCTTTGTCGGAATCAATCGGTTTAGGGGAGCAGGGGAAATTGAAGGGGGATCGATTCAGCCAATCGTATAGGGCAGGGGAGTACATCATATCAAGCAAGCCTAACCATGATATTGTTTCCTAGCAACGACGCTGAGATGAGTTTTGGAGGGATGAGGGCTCATTTCTTTTCCACAAAAACGATATCAAAAGTCAGATTATAATGGAATTACCAAACACACAAGCCCACCACGTTCTTCCCTCAGTAAGTCTGTGACGATGCGTCATGTATACTGCCCCCATAAAGGGTGTGATAGTCGTGACCAGATTTCGTCGATACCCTTTGCCCTGGCAGAGATTGTTAAGCCATCACTTTGAGGACCAGGATCGTTCAGCTCCTCCACCTTTCTCTGACAAAGGGGAATAGCCAAAGCCGTAGCGAAATCGGTTGAATCCTTCCTTTGTTTTGCATCGGCCAATGATAGTCTGCCATTCAGCCCTTAAATAATATCAGCGCTACTCATCCCACCAGTAATGGTTGGACTTACACGTACACAAACACAAATGAGCAAGATTTGAACCTAGCTCAGAAGATGGCAGTATTCACATTACTTCAAAAGACCAAAGTAGTGATAACGGAGCTTTAGCAGCGTGTCGTGCTTGGCATCTTCTATTTGGGATTTTCTTTTACTTTGTATCTAAACTCTTCCTGCCATAGTCCTTTAGGGCTTGCTGGTTCCCTCCCTCTTGGCTCCCTCTGGGTCATAGGCAGATACTTCGATCTCAACCCACATGTTATCGTCGCCAAGTCTACTAATCTGAACACAGGTCCAAGTAGGATGGGTATCCGGCATCCATTTCTTGAAGTTGCGCACCATCGCCTCCTGTGAACGGGGATCTAGCTGAACGTGGAATGAATTTACTCGGTATACTTGTGGCCAACCAGCACCGCCCGCACTCTTAAGGGCTTTATCCACATTGATAAAGGCCTGGTCGATCTGCTCAACGATGGTCAGAGGCTGGGTGCCATGCTCGTCCAGGTAGCCTCCTAGCATAAAGTTAGCCGATGTAGACAGATAGGGGTATTCATTGTATTGAGATGTCAGTGCTGGAATCTTTCATCCCCTTTATGCTTAAACTCTCATCAGAGGTAGACAGATAGGGATGCGAGATATCGAGTACAAGAAGCAGCAATGGAAGATGCCAGATACGACATCTCAAACGCAACGAATAAATGTGGACGAGGATTCAAATGCAAGGTGCTCCCTTACCTTGCCCGGCACAATGAATGAAATCACCGGTTCGAACGGCTGATGAGTACCAGTAGTCTCTCTGGTTGTTCTCGCCGAAGCCCTTATAGGCATACTGCTTAATAGACATGATGTACGAGGTGGTGATTGGGCTGGGGTAATGGGGAAGATGTGTGTGGTTTGTGAGGGCAGGCTGGAGGCCAAAGCACAATTTTATACCACAATGCTACGCCCATCTCTCGGTATTTGCGGCATTATGAATGGCGGAATATACTTTCCGCTCTAACTCCCACGTCATCAGTATTCACTACTAGAATCTTCCAATTTTACTCACCAGGCTTGACATATTCTGGTTTGTCTTTAGGCGTCAAAACTTAATGTCGGTTAATAATTATTCCGATGTAAACGCATTACTAGCAACCACTACGTTATGTTTGCCTGGGAAGGGTGTTGCCTTGCGCCGGTCGTGGTGGGTTGCTTCTCTGGGATTTTCCCGTCGTCTGGAATGACATGATTTCGAGAAAGTAGTTCTAGGTAAGAAAAACATGAATTCAAAACTCTCCTTATCGGGTTCTTGTTCTTGGGTTCCGCTGTGACGGACAAGTTCGGATCATTCCACCACCTCTACACTTCCGCTATTTCCGCCTGTCACTCATAGTTTGACCCCATATCCATTTGTACTGTTATTTCTGTCGTCGTGGATTGCTGATCTTGCTGAAAGTCGTTCTGACATCTAAGCCACTCTTCAGTATCGTGCCCAATTTCGTCGCAGCGCCAGCTATTGTAGCATTAGCTGCTGTGTTTATTTTCGAATGGCTGGTCCGCTGGTTGGTCAGACACCAACGCAAGATGCAAGCTCGGACAGAACACCACTGTTGAGCGCACCCGCTTACCGACAACAAAGAACCGTACAATCTGCTCATACGGAACAGTGTACTAATCCAGAAACCGAGACAGTGAGCCCTGGGGCTTGTCCCGACCATGGCGCTGCGGAAATAGAGCAAGATGTCACCATCGCACGGAAGAAAGCTTTGATGATTCTTCCTGCAGTTGCTATTGGAGTAAGTATGCAGCCAAAACCATTAATGTATACAGCGGACTATCATCGTATACTTGTACATATTTGCGGTTTCTTCAATCGTTCCCTGACACAGATTAGTCCTGACAAGATTGGTAAAAATAGATCTTCATGGCTGCCGCGGACCAGACGATTATAGTGTCTAGTTACGGCCGAATCGGAACCGACCTTGAAGCCCTGGATAAGACAGGATGGATTGCAACATCGTGAGTTCCACTAGACTGTAATTATAAATGCGCTTCCCTAATCAATTACGTGGCACTTTGCAGTTATTTTTTGACCTTGGCATCATTTCAGCCCTTGTATGGGCGCCTAAGTGATATCTTTGGGCGCAAAGCTGCCCTACTCTTTGCCTACGCGGTCTTTGGCCTAGGATCTCTGTGGTGCGGTTTTGCCACGAATATAAACGAATTGATTGTAGCAAGAGTGAGTGATTAACTTGATCTTTTCCCATGAACTCACGCGAGACGTGGAATAACTAACATCATTTGGTATCTGGCAGGCGCTAAGTGGCGTTGGAGGAGGTGGTATGACAACCATCGTCGCTATTATATGGAGCGATATCCTTCCAGTCCGTGAAAGAGGGTTATGGCAAGGTTTTGCAAACCTCATTTACGCAACTGGTTCCAGCTTGGGGGGGCCTCTGGGTAAGCTTTCTTTATCTGCCGCAACTTCAGTATCATATTGCTAACATCCTCAAGGTGGTCTGCTAGTTGATACGCCAGGAGTTGGTTGGAGATGGCCCTTTATAATTCAAGCACCTCTTGCTTTACTCGCTTCGATCGGTGTATACTTAGCATTAACACCAAATCGAAATGACTTTCACGGCTGGACAAAACAACTTCAGCGGATAGACATCCTTGGTGCTTCTACTCTGGTGCTGGCCGTCCTGTCATTGATGGTGGGATTCGATTGTGGGTCGAATGTCTCTTGGTTTGCACCCGTGACCATTGGCTTTCTACTGTTGGCCGTTGCGCTCTTCTGCGTCTTTGGATACATCGAGACTTTCGTTGCATCCGAGCCTTTCACCCCAAGCCACATCCTCCTCAACCGCACACTCTTCGCGCACTACGCCACTCAATTTTTCTCATTTACGAGTCACATCTCGTCCATGTTCTTTGTTCCACTCTTTTTCCAGGCTGTCCACGACCTCAACAGCGGCCAGGCCGCGATTCGCTTGATCCCTGTTGTTCTTGCGGGCGTCTCGGGAGGACTCACGGGTGGCTTAATGGCCAAATGCTCCGGAGACTATGCACGGCTAACAATGGTTGCCGCCACAGTGCTGCTACTAGGCTCTGCACTCTCGGCCGCATGCTGCGCCGCTGATGTTCGCGGCCTCACGGGTTTGATCATCAGTGTGAGCATCAACTCGTTTGGAAACGGTATCATCTGTACATCTACCATGGTGGGTATCCTAGCAAACGCAGATGAAAAGGATCAGTCCATCGCCACCGCATGCTCATATCTCTTCCGAGCCTTGGGATCCATCATCGGCATCACGGTCGTCTCTGCGACTGTTCAGCAGTCGTTGAGATCTAGGTTAATCGAGGAGCTAGCGTCGAGGGGGAATGCGGAGGAGATCGCGAAGCGCATTCAGATGAGCCTAGACGCAGTCAAACTACTAGATCCAGAGACCCGCGAGCTGGTTCGGACCTCGTATCGTATGGCTGTGAGAGACGGCATGGTGGTAATGACGGCCCTGGCAGCAATGACCGTGGTAGCCGCCATTTTTGGACGAGGGAAGCGATTGGTTTGATGACAATGTTCCAAAAGAGTAAGCCTACAGGTCCTATACCCAATAATAATGAAAAATGGAGAGGGCGAAGTATCGTGTGTTTATGGATACAGAGACCTTGATACAGGCCCGGAACAGACCGCACGCCAATAAGAAGATCAATAAACAAACCGAGATGTAGAAATAAATCAAAATGAACTTTTTCCAAAATTAGACTGCTTAGAGTTTGATATCAAAAGCCCCAAATACTCTTGCGACAGCATTGTGAAGTGCTATGGCTGCAAGAAGCTCGACCAATTCCTGACTAGAGAAGAACTCTTTTGCAAGTTCCAACACTTCTGCGGGCACCTGGATCTGCAATGTGCTTGCGTCCGTGAGAGCGAGGACTGCCGCATATTTCTCACATAGGCCTGCGGCTTTATACCTGGACAGAACTTGGCCGGTTGGACAGTTCTTGACAAAGTCTACAAATTGAGCCGTGATTGAGTTATCCGGGGACTTGAGAAGGTTGGCTGAATGTATGTTCCACTCTTCCTCCACTCTATTGATGGAATACGCGCGAGCAATAGCGGTCTCGCGAATCGAAGAAGAAATAGATGTTTTGAACCGAACTGCTGAAGCTAGTTCAAGCCTGGTTGTGCGTTAGATAAAAGTTCAAACCTTAACACGCATATCAGGTAAAATCTTTTATCTCTTCTGTTTGACTCCGCTTTTTTAAGCTCTTGCGAGGTCTTATTTTTAAGAAGGAGAGGGCAGAAAAAAAAAAGAAGGGGGAAAAGGGGGGAAAAAAAGAAAGAAAGAAAAGAAAGAAAGAAAGATAGAAAGATAGAAAAGAAAAAAAGAAGCCTGTCAAACTTACCATGGCCCAGCGATTTTTGGGGCATGAAGCAACACTCGATCAAAGGCTGATAACCCTGACGGACGTCGGGACTTGATAGCGGCCAAGATCCTGCTATCCTCCTCCTCGTCAAAGGAAATGTCCCTAGGAAGATATGGTATGCCTGACATAATGAGATTTTAGCCAGTGGCTAGGCCTTGTGAGATAACGATCAAAGTGATTAAGTCTTTGAATTACAAAGAGAAGAAGTCGCGAGAAACCCGGTCGATTCTAACTAAGGGAGCGCGACCGTTGAATAGATTGGAAACTTTACTACTCGATTGTTATCCCCGACATATTTTGCTGCGAGGAACATCCTCTTGTCGACATTAAATAGTCACCCGTAGGAAATTGAGAAGACCAAGATGGAAAACCGGCTCGTGAGGTAAAATCCCGATGACAACGAACCAAGCTTGATCCCTTGTTCTCCCGTCTCAACGCACGAGATGGCATTCCGGCCCGGTGATTGGAGCCCCCTCAATGTGTCAGGATAAACCAAGCAGTCGTCATACTCTTTTGGTTCTAGGCCATCATTCTTCGGACTCATTGGGTGGCATTGGATGTGAGTTACTAGTTTCTATTTGCTGATACAAAGACACTTATCCACTCTACTGAGCATTTCTTGGGGCATAATCCGTATTTTCCGCTACTTCCACCCCCATCACCACCAGCTTGTGCAAGGGCAGGTAAATCTAGAGGGTATGAGTAAGCCCAGGCCGTTGTTTCTTTTCCTTTTTTTTCTTTCTTTTTTTTCAATGAAGTAGCGAGTGTTTTATGGCTACGCTACGCTGATGAGATCCTCCTTTCAACCATTTTCTTCCCCCGATCAATACTATTCTAGAATAGTATCCATCTTGAAACTTCTCGGCCTAGGCAATTCTGTGCAACATCGGGATCTTACAACTTCGCAGACAAGGAGACCCAGACTCTGCTATATATGCGCCAGATCCTCATCACAAGGTCTATCCCGATTTCTTCTTTACATGGACGGTGTTTGAGACTCGCATAGCTGTCATTCAACAACAAATGGTGTTCGAAGTAGTCGTACCTTTGTTCCAAAATTTCGCCCCAGTCTCGACCAAAGTTGTTGGCCCAATTGATCACAGATTATCCCAACCACCCAGCAGATAACTATGTTCTTGTTGATCAAATGTATTGAATGGAAACCACATATTCTGATTTTCGACTCCATTGCCCGCATCTTCCATCAACGTCTCAAGGGAGCCCAAATAGTTTGGCAGTTGATCTTCAGTAGATTGCCGAAAACCTTCACCATCAGACGTCGATGCCATTGTGAGCAACCGATTGTCGATGGGCCAGTCTCCGCTCCGCAGGAATTCATCTGCTGCTTCCTCATGTTCTCTCGTGTCGTTTCCAATAGCAGATGCCAAGTCCTGATCGCTGTGCAGTCTGTCAGTGAGATGTTCTATCTGACGACCATGTCCCTCGCCCGAGGTCGACCTCATTTCTGATGCCAAGCTGATCGGCCGAGAGCGAGTAGGCAGGCGACCGATTATTGGATCAAGAAGGTGCTCTCGGACCGTTTCGAATATGTCACGGTAACGCTTGCTGTATGGCTCCCTCTCGGCGATGACAAACAGCACAGTGCTGCATGTGTTGATGTTGTCGATTGTCCATAAACCCATGATGGATTTTGAAGCGATGAGTGTACAGTAAATCAGATTGAGTCCAGCGAGGAAGACGGTCTGCGCGGTTATGATCGTTAATCCCGCTTGGGCTTGTTGTAGCTTCTTGAAATATCGGCCCAAGTTGCCACACGCCTGCATAAACTCGCTTAGAAAAATCTGGCCCAGGTACTTGTCGGACAAGGTTACGTAAAAGAGCAGCCGGAGCGCCTTGTTGTAATATATCATGAACTCGTGTAGTTGACTAGCACTGCCCCCGTAATCATGCGGGCCCAAGTCGGCGGGGATCTGATCTTTCCAGGAAGCGAGCTTTGCCTGGTAAGAACGGATTAGCTTTTCGGATAGTTGTACGGGTCGGTCCACACGGTAGATGTCTCTTTGGATTTCTGACTCGATTCTTCTCAGCTTGATGATGTGCACGAATAGTGACAAAGATGTGACCGGTTCATCAGATCCACCTGAAGTCTGGTTTTGCTTCCTTTCCAGTATATTACGGTCAACACAATCTTCGTCCACGTCCAGCGGCAGCTCAAGGTCGATATCAGCATCCGCAATGGCGAACGGGCGGCCAATGGGAATGCAGAACATCCGGTCAAATACATAGCATGACCAGAATATTCTTTTCTTCATCTGACTCGTGAGGATGTCTTCTTTAGAAGCCAGATGCTGCCTGTGAAGGCCGAGATCGATGGCTTTCGTCATGGCCATTCGGCTGTAGGTCCACGGGTCTCCCCCTGACGAGGAGCGTATTCCCCAGATCGCCATTAGTATGAGCGCGCAGATCTGGCGGACATCTCTGATCCGCAAGATGCTAGGGAACAGCTGCATTGCGCACTCGTAGTGTCGTCCGGGCGAATAGCTGCCGCGATCCCCCATACTTTCGAGCGTACGTCCCCCGATAGCGTATACGAGATAGAGTATAAAGCGCTTGTAGGAGGCTGATGCGCTGCTTCTCTGGGCGTTGAGCTTTCTGAGCCACGTCGAGTGGAGAACAGGCCACCTCAAGCCTGTATCTTTCATGTACCCTTCGAGGAGGCGGTTTGCTGTCTGATCCGACAGACTTCCAAGCTCCACGCCAACCGTGTCCACCGTTCCGACATTACTTGCCGGTGAGTCCACGCCCCCCGGTGAGCCAGACTCTTGCAGGTCATCAACCAGCATTCCAAGCATGCGTGCAACAGACGTGAAGGTCGACGCACCCAGACATCCACCATTCATATTCGTTGATAGCTTTACCAGAGACCTAGCAATAGGGTCCGCAGGCTGTAGCTCTTTGTGATTGGGAAGCACCAGGGCCGCTTCCGTCACGTTGGACATGATCTGCTGGTGGTGAAGCTGGGTGACACCCTGGGGGGTTATGAGTGACCCGGCTGACGCAGATGTGCCCATAGGCGACGATGGTTTTCCGCTCTCGGCGATGGACGATTCGAGCTCGGCCACTCTTTTTTCAAGGCTGCTAATGTAATGATTCTTGCCAAAAGGCATCGGTTTGTTTGGAATGATGTAGGTGCACTCAGCGGCAGCGTCCTTGCATTTACGACACACGGGTTGGGAGCCGTCGCATTTTTGTTTCCTGAATTTGCATCGCTGGCAAGCAATTGCAACTCTCGTCCGCTTATTGCATCGAGAGTTGTCCGTCCTGCTCCTGTCTCTACCCAACATGGTGGTGTAAAAGGCCGCTTGGATGGTGTGTTGATGTCTGAAGACAGGCAGGAAAATTGTAGACATGAGAAAGAGGAAACGGGACGTGGGGCAAGAGGTAGATAAGAGATCGTTGCTGTTGATAGGAATCATGGAGGGTCACTCCTACTTGCACCAGCTCATACACGCAGTTGTTGGACTCGGAAATGGGCATGACTCTCACCCTGCTTTTCTCCAGCAGAGGGTCAACATGACGTATCCCAGCACCAAGAATGCGTTGATCAAGAATAATCAGGGGATAGATCGATATCTCAGGTTCTAGCTCTCTTGTTGTTTTGTCTGGAAAAGCATATGGTCTTTCTACACAACAGGAATTGCTCAAGCCTGATCCCGAGTCAGTGTTATCCCCGTGGACGCTACCACAATGTCTGATCAGCACAATGGAGCTGGCCAACATTAGCTTGATTCGTTATAGTATCCACCTATGTCGCCATTGCCTACCTTTTCCGCTACTTCCGCTCACTCTTGCTCTCTTCTTGCTCACAGGTCATGTAGCCAAGTGTGAAACGGCCGTGGCTTCACCCAGCAGAAGGGTCTATTGTCTTACTGAAAGCCGAGAATTACTTGCGTGAGACCGAATTCATGGTATGCTCCACCACTTCTCATGCACTTCTCGCAAATCAACCGTCCCAGGTGCCGTGAGGTACGGCGTCATGTCAGAATCTGGGTCAAGTTCGGCGGCCGTCATGCCATTCCCGAGGTAGGCAAATACATTCCCGCTCGGCGATATATGCTCGTACTCCCAATCTTCCCACCTGGGTTCTCTGCGGGCCGTCGAGAGATGCGCTGCGCTGCCAGGCCAAATGCCATGAATTCTGTTACCTGGACGGCCCCCGTTGAACCACGAACTGCAGTTGTCGCTGAGCACCGTCTGGGCGAAATATGCATCGCTGTAGCTGGTGAAGTCGTCGGTAGCCTTCTTGCTGGGGACTATGCTCTTGATGCCCTGCTGGGATACTTTACGCAGGATCTTTGCGTAATAGGTCAACTGCACTTCTAGACTATGAATAATGTTTCCTGTGTTTGTATTTCAGTGTCAGAAACTATCTCCGCGAATGCTATATTCCTGTATATGAAGTAGCCTTGTTTATCAGGATCCAGGACGGGCTCACCTGCTGGCCCGCTCCCGTGAGGACCTAGTGCAAAGAAGAGGTTTGGAATCCCTGGAGTCGCCAAGCCCAGATACGTGTAGGGGAAGCCAAACTGTCCGTTGGGTTTCCAGGCGGTTCTCAAGTCTGTGTCGCCGCATCTGATAGGAAAAGTCGGTGCTCCGTCCACATTCGCGCCCGTAGCACAAAAGATGGCGTCAACCGGATTATGCTGTCCGTCAGTGGTCTCTATCCCAGTCTCTGTGAAGCGCTTAATTGGTGTCTGTATGAGGCGGACATTCGGCTCGGTGACGGCTTCGAGATACCCAGGGCCAGGTGTAAGCCGGCGGCAGTTGGGGGAGAAGTCTGGCACAAGATTCTCCAACAGCTCGGGCTTCTTCACCAAGCGCTTCCGCATCAACTCAATAAACTGTTCTCGTGCTTGTATGTTGCTTTCGGAGCCTCGCAAAAAGCTCGTGAACCCTCGCCATGACTTGCCTTCGAGCTCCTTCCTGAACTTGAGGTATTCTTCGGGATCCTTCTTGAACGCGTCGCGTTGGTCTTGTGTAATATACTGTGGTTCGAATGTTCTCTCCTCCTTGCTATCGGACCCGGCAATCCAGGTTTTGCTCCGCGCATAGTGGTCGACTTGCTTTGCCACGCGTTGCAGAGACGGTACGACTTGTACGCCGCTGGCCCCATTGCCAATCACTGCGACTACCTTGCCCGTAACATCAAACGTCTTATCCCAGTCAGATGTATGCCGAATGGTCCCCTTATAATCATCGATGCCGTCATAGCTAGGCAGCTTACGCGCGTTGAACCGACCCGTGGCAGTTATCACGAAATCCGCCTGGTCGATCATGGTGGCTCCCTTTTCGTTGCGGATGGTTAGGACCCATTTCGACGCTGCTGGGTCCCATAACAGATCGCAAACCTGGTGACGAAAGCTTATGTACTTGTATACATCGTGCTTACGAGCTTGAGACACCCAGTATTCGTGTATCTCGTGGCCCCGAGCGTATACCTCGGACCATTCCGTATTTGGGGAGAATGTCGATTGGTAAACGTGGGATGGAACATCGCATCGAACTCCAGGATATCTATTTTCCAGCCACACTCCACCCTTGAATAGTCAGCACAAGACGCAATCCAATGATCCAACACCCCCTGTTCTCTACATACCAGCTCTTCATTCTTTTCGTAGATGTGTAGATCAATCCCAGGCACCTTATGGGGCAAAAGCATTCCTGCCGTAATTCCAGCTATGCCAGCCCCGATAACTACCACCCTAAGCTTGCGAGGCTGATCAATGTACCGATTCTCAAGTCGGAAGCTAGAGCGAGGAAACAAAGGATGGATCCCATTATAGACTGCCGTGTTGTCTATGATGAGTCTGTCTAGAGACTCCTCATTTTCTTTTTGGTTTTCAAGATCAAGTTCTTCTGCCCGACTGACTGTCTCGGTGCAGTCGGATTTGCGAACATCGAGAGTCTCGATAGAAGGGCCATCTTGCCCTGGAAATGAGACAATGGCCGAACTCATGCTGAGAATCGCCAGCAAGGATAGTGTTTAAGAAATAGCAACGACTGGTGGGCAAGGTCTCTTCCAGGGTCTGATACGCCCGAGTTGGCGGTATATACGCTATGCCATGGCATTTTCAAATCAACGGAGCGTGTCTTCTGTGCTCTCCAGTGGAGTACCTAGTGTGGGAACATGTCAAGTCTTCCGACAAGTCAAGCGGCTCGGCTTCAAAGGGCCGCAAGTGGAACCATCGGCATGTCTGTCTGATACCGCCACGCCAATCACACTGTCTAATAACATGATTTCGGGCCGTTGCGGGAAGATTCGGCGAGGGAAAAAGTGTAGCAGTCCTTCGAAAATGGTGCCATTATTTAGATTATTGCCTTTTTATGGCCAAGAGGATGCATTGTTGTCCCAGCTGCTAGCCAATTCAAAGATCAAGATGCGCGGTGGACCGACGTAGTGAGTATCTAGGTATATGAAGTCGGTACACTGCTTTTTTGGATTGATTTTCACTTTTATATGGAGAATTTAAGGTATTGTAGAATGCTACTGTGTGTCCAATGAGGGTGCTGGACCGGTATTTGCAACTTGCTCTTGTGCAGTATCATTCGCCACTCCCCAGAAGTCACTATCTACTTTTCCATCATCGAGCGATGAAGAGGGAGAAGAGACAGAGTGGCTAGCTACAACCTCAGGTATGGAACTTTCCGGTATGTGAAACTCCTGCAGTGGTGGGGGGCAGAGTTGATTGTCCGAATCACTGCCGTTACTGTCGAGTAGAAGCGTCGGCGAGTTCCCTCCATGCTTGTCGCAGATTACTGCTCCAGCGCGTGCTTTGATAATAGAAATGATTTTCTTCGCCATTTTCCAAGTTGTGCTCATTTCTTCGAGCAAGCCCAGCGCCAACTCCAAGGCTTGAGCAGCTTTGGAGGAAATCTCGACGTCATGACTGGCAATATTCATGCTGTGAATCGTAGAGGCTGTCCAAATGCATTGCATCTTGAAGGGAGGGAACAGTTTTAGTGTGTGATGAGTTCGGTACGACTGGACTTGTCTCACTATCGCATAAGCGCTCGAAGTACAACGCGCCATGGATACCTCATGGAGATCCTCGAGAAGCTCAATGTCTTTGGGCTGTAGAATAAGACCATCGAATTGACTTGTTAGATTGAGTAGTGGCCTGTGAATTTGGATGATGTGGTTATGATATGCCATCCTATTCACAATTAGCGATGAACACTTCGGAAGGCACCACTGATGACAAGGGCACGCTAATGATAAGGCCTTACTCAAAGAGAAGGACATGAGGCAAGGTGCTCCTTTGCTGGTTGCTGCTTATCCATCCAGGAAGACCTTGATGCCACACTGAGAGTTCGTTGTGAAACTTGGTGATGACAACATTCAAATGCTGTGCAAGACTTGGAATTCCTACTGGCTGCCTGTCGATTGTTTCCATATCGTGCTTAAACCTGCGCCTAGCCCTCGACCATTAGCTGACAACCCCGAAAAAGGCCATTGGAAGCGCATTAAACAGGCTCTTTGGAGCTGGCGATCTTACATTTCGCCCAGCATGCGTTCATTCATTTCCCAGAGTTTGACGTTGATGTGGAACGCCTCGAGAGGAGAGCCATGGAAATTGGATGGCTCAGGTGTCATCCACAAAGACTCCAATCCTTCCGCGGAAGCTTCCTCGTTGACTGGAGGCGGACTAGTCGTATTACATGGTGTTGACGCAACAAGGCCAGTGTAACCAAAGCAATTAGCCAGAACTCTATTAAAAATGTCCAATAACTCCGATGTCAGTAAGAATACATGACAGCTAGGTCATCATGGTTATAGTATGCACCTAGCAGATCAGACCACCTACTTGTCAATGACAAAGCTGGCCCAGTGGGTAATAGTGCGAACTTCGACATAGTCCGGCGTAACAGATTCCGGTATCAACCATCGGTTCTCATCCGTGCTGTTATTGGATCCGAGAATGTTCCCAACAGATGCCGCGATGCCTATCTCGATTAGAAAATGATTTCGGGCCCAAAATGAGTGCTGCAAGAGCCATTACGCCCTTGAAAGAGCAATCGGCAAACCTACTATTAAACAACCAAGCAGCGTCCTCAAGCCCTTGGCCAAATTGGCAACAAGCCAGAATGCAGGCAGATTGAATAATTTCAATACACGGTGCTTCGAAGGCCAATTTCGTCAGGAGTTCTCTGGCCTTTGTAGTATACTGGCTACTAGATGGGGTGTCGCCTTTGAGAGGAGTAAAAACAGTTGTTAAGGCTAGAATTGAGACGATAAGTAACTGTTTTGGCAGCAAAGTCTGCAAGGAGTCATAGTCAAGAAGTAGCTGATCAACCACCGATTGTACCAGAACAATGACGGATGAATTTTGCCATTCAACAAACGTTGCCATGTGTCGTTGGAACTGCGTCCTACTGGGAAGAAAGAACTGGAGGTCGATGCTTTTGGATGAAGCAGAGTTACGGGTGGAAGAGGAATGAGCATTTTGGTGACCAGACCCGTCATCCTGGGAAATGAAGCTATCAGAACCTCTGTATCTCAACTCGCGGTCTTCCCCAAGCCTGAGCTTGAACGAAAACCGACCAAAACTACCAGCAAACCCTTCATTGGGGCGAAGAGACAGGCTCGGACGATACCCCTCGGAGGGCGGAACTGGACTTATCCCTAGAGTCCCCGGATTGGAACCATCAAGCGGTCTGCTGGTTCGCTTATGCCGCCCGTCAGGTACCGCGCTGTAGTCGCAAACGAGGTCTCGGCTTCTGCACAACGAACATGGGCGATTTCCGTCACACTGGGGTCACATGATCACATCAACATTTCTGGGTTCTTTGGGGGGTCCAAGGTCAAAGTGCTCTCACCCTCCGCTTTCGTTGACGACACCTGATGCAGGCTGTCGTCTGCCGACGATCATGTCGCGAGGCTTTTGTAGGACGAGACGTGGGAGAGTCTCCAACTGCTGCCATCGGGGTGACAAGATGGAGAAATGTGTTCCAGTGCGCGAATGCGATGCTAGATATCGGCAGCCATTGACCATGTGCTCGCTGACTTTTGTGTTATCTCAGCGATGATAGAATATTTTGCCGCGGCCAAGCTGGTAGAAAAGGAGAGACTGTGGGTCTATTGCGTGCTCTTCTCAATCCTTCTCGATGCTCCGAAGTCATCACACTAAAATACAGCTACCCTGTAGTAAGGGCCCAACACCCAATGAATTATTCGTCCTACGATCAAAGGCTTGTTATTATGTTTTCTCCAAAAATAGATTACGATCAGAGTTTTATATTTGTTTTTGGTTTTTTTTTTATTTCAAGGCATGCGAAAATAAAGAAAATACAAGCTTTCTAACGGCTCTAGAGCATATGGTTACTCAAATAAGGTGAAGACGCAGCGCTTTACCCACGGCATTTCCAAGGTAGCTTTGCTGTGAAAAATGAATATAAACGAGACAACAGGATAAGATGAACAACTAAACGTCTGAAAGCCTGTCTGCTTCAAAAGCCTTCCAAGACTTGCCTCGTTTAGGTTTTCCCAAACGGCCATGCCTTGAAGACAAAGGTGAAATACGACTCGCCAAATTCTGGAGTAACCCCTGCCTGGATCCTGACTCAAGCTCGGGGTTCTCCAGAGCGGAAAACAGATCGGCTGTTCTGCCGTAACCCACATGGCGCAATCAGAGCGTATGATTGCGTGATTTTCCGCTTCTTAGTAGAGCTGAGACTTGATCAAAGTTATCGAAGTTGATAAACATGACATAACTTTATCATAGGACTTGGTATTCAGGCTTTTAGAACAAACGTCGAATGAAGTTTAACATGTGCATGTAGACAGAGGCGTTGTAATCCGCGTTTGATTGCATCCCGGTAAGTGATGTACTCTCCTGGGTACTAGTGAGCATATCTGGTACACTGTTCAATACTTGGCGAACCTATCGCTTATGCAGTTCTGTGCGTCGTTCATTTTGGCAAAGGGGAACAGTTGCGGAAAAATGAACCCTGCCAGGATGTTTAATCAGAGGTGTGGCAATGTTCCAGCAACGATTGCGCAATATGCGCTTAAATTCGTTCTCGACTTGGTGCAAACAAGGCTTGATAAGTATGTGGGGCGATATTTTTCTCTTCGATAGTAGATTGTTGTAAGATCCGTCCGTTCGTCACAACGTCAGTGACTTGTTTTCTTATATAAAGTATCTATGGTCTACAGTTTGGATGTGCTACTACCTCACATTGGAGTAAATGCTCGGTTCACCCATATACTAAACTCCCGACATCGTTACTGACCATGAGTGCCTTGATCGAGCCCGAAAATGACGCCGGCCCTGCAAAAGATGTTGCAGAGGTCACGGTATTGGATGCACCCGCCTCAGATAGCGCTGAGGACAGGGCTGCTTTTTTCCGTTCTTTTACCCCGGAAGAACACAAACGAGCCGTGTGGAAAGTCGACATCCGTATATTGTGGCTGTCAGGTTGCATGATGGTGATCAAGAATGTAGGTTTAGCTTGTGGTCCTTGGTCCAATCTTTGTTGCTAATAGGCAACGATCTAGCTCGGTTCTGCCAATGCTGCAAACGCAAGGGTAATGCAATCTAAACAGCCGACAAATATTCAGGTTCAGTTGGGCATGTCCGACTTTGACTATAACTGGGTTTCGTCTATTTTTTATGTAAGTTTGCCTGAAACTAGAAGATGAGGCCATGTGGGCGCTTGGAATAGAAGTTGATATGTGCTCTTGCAGATTGCTCTCATCATCTGCGAAATCCCTAGCAATCTGATGCTCAAGTACTGGAAGCCCCGCAACTGGCTATCTCGAATCATGGCCACTTGGGGCATCGTTGTTGCGTGCCACGCAGCTATGAGTAACAAGGAGGGCTACTATGTCTTGCGATTTGTCCTGGGAGCGATGGAGGCTGGGTTATTCCCTGGGTATGTTCACCTGGTTTTTGTGAAACATCAATGAGCGCTCCTTGGCTGACATCTCCCAACAGAATCATCACACATTTCTCTTCCTGGTACCGTAACGACGAGTTGGAGAAACCCATCATGTGGATGTTATCTATTAATCAAGTATCTGGCATTGCTAGTTCCATGTATGCTTACGGAGTCTCATACATGGACGGAATGCAAGGCCTGAGCGCATGGCAGTGGTGCGGATTAGATCCCCGGCCTTTGTATTAGCATCTTTCAAGCTGACTTCCACTATAGGCTTTTTATCCTTGAAGGAATCACGACAGTCCTTTTCGCTGGCGTCGTTTTTCTTGTTCTGCCCGATTATCCAGGATCTGCCCGTTCTAGAAAGTGGCTCACCCCGAGAGAGCAGACCTACCTTGAGCTGCGACTTATGGACACGGCTCCCAAAGAGGATGATCCCACCTTCAATACAGGCGAGGTTTTCGATGCACTCCGTGATCCTCGCACCTATCTATTCTCTGTTGCACACTTCTGCCTTAATCTGGCGCAATATGCTCTGAGTTGGCAGCTCCCTACAATCACTACCTCTCTTGGCTTTGTCGCTCTTCCGAAGAATCAGCTGCTCAACATCCCTCCTTGTCTAACCGGAATCATACTTACCATCATTGTGTCCTACCTGATTAAACAAGCCTACATGCCTAGACCGGCATATGTCATCATCATCATAACAACGTTGATTGTATTCTTCGGCATATTGGCCGCACCCCTCAGTAATGGCGGCATCTATGCTGCCTGCATCATTGCCACCGGCTTTACAGCCGTTTTCACGGTCCCCTTCTTTGCTTGGCGAGCATCATCGTTGAAGGGATCCACGGGCACAGCATTCACCACGGCTTTCCAGCTTACCTTCAGTCAGGCGGGAGGAGTCATTGCCCCGCAGCTCTTCCAGGCAAAGTACTCAGCCGACCACTACCGAGTCCCCTTCTCGATTTGTACCGCGTTCCTGGTACTTTCACTGCTGCTGTTCTTTTGGTGCTGGTGGACGACCCGTCAGCTCGAGTCTGAAATAAACCGGGTCCGCCGCCTCAGGATCAAAGCAGCTAGAGAGGGCAGGATTTATGATGGTGTGGACGCGCAGGTTGAAGATATCAGGACTGCCCACAACGGCCGTTTGAAGAATGACTCGGGTCCATCTGTTGTCTCTACTGTCTGAGGGTCCATTGATGCCGGACAACGTGCTTCAGCTTTTGGCCGAGTGGTAGATGTCAGCTAATTGTCGAAGAAGTTTATTGGAGGTTAGATCAGAGGAGGAGAAGTTGTGAGCAAGAGGTTGATGGCGAGTCGGGTCTTCAGTACCACCTACCTGCGGTGGTCGAGGTCTGATGAGGGGGTTTAGTCTATACACGAACTGCTTATACATCTTACAAGTTGTCACCGCAGATGATGAAATCCAATCTCATAATGCCACGGTGAGGTTGCAGCGGCAAATTCTTTTTGCGCCCTAACGTCCCCTCACTGTGTTTATGCCGTGAAATCTACGACTTGACCAACGGCTTTTTAGTCTGGCGTCTAGTGAAGGGTAGGATAACCTTTAGTTACCAATGGTAGAGCGGTCTAGAGGAAGAAATCAGGAGCACCATATTCATTGCATTGAGATATTTGGTGTAGCATTTTCCATTGCTTTTTTTACTTTGTATTCGAACTCTATATTCACTGCGTTGAGTTGGTCGGGCCCTGGCAGCTTCATTGTTGTTAAAGTTTATCATTCGTATTCTCCCACGCACGCGTATTCGAACTCTCGTCTGCAGCAGTAGCTCCATGTGGATGTCAACAACAACATTTTAGCAGAAGGCCACCATCTCTAAGGTTATGGGGAGGGATCTGATCCCTTATTAATCTAGGTTGGCCTCTCCGATCCCTACACCGACATAATAACCCTGTTGGAAGCATCAACCTCATCCTGTCACTCTACGCGCTTGGAAGTATTCGCCACAGCTATTCGCCACAGCAGGTGCTTATAATGTCGATTCTTCGGTAATTGGCGATATTGATTGCCAGGTTGGCGACACTAACAGTGGTATTTCACTATAACTTGGTCGAGGCTACCGACCCCGTAGTCTCCCAGAAGGCTGGCAAACCAGATGCTAATCTGAGCTGTTCAACACTGGTCACACCCCTTCTCTTCTCACCCATAGATACAAATGCCCTTCTTAACGCCGGCATATTCTCCCAGATCCAAAGATGTTTTTGAGTCCATGGTATTAGGACCTTGGCCGCCGAACCTGACGCTTGCGAGCCCCAGAGGCAGATACCCGGAGTCTGATCCGGATCAGAAACAGGTAATGTATGAAATCCAGCACTCCCAGTCTCCTCCAGCCTCTTTGTCTCCCAGCGGCGCATCTCGTCATCTGTAGGGAGGGTTAGGCGACCTGTAAAAAGATGGGCGAGCACCGTGCTCTGAGCTTCACTGTGGGGATAAGGAATGAGGTTCTGATTCAAAGTGAGGAAAGACAATGTTGGATTTGGTCGATAAATGAGATGACGGTATGTGTGCTGAACGCGGGTGCCATCTCCAATTGGTGGGAACGATGTGTCCTGTAAGGATTCCAAGAAGGGTAACGAGTATAGGTATCCCGTGGCATAGAGGATAATGTCAACATTCTCCTCCGTCGACCCATCAGTGAACTTGACGGTCCGCTTGGGCTCGGGGAGGTATTCCACAATTTCTGGATGGGTGACCTTCCCAATGATAGGTGGCAGACCTTGGTTGGTAAGAGATTCCTTGCGCTGCGAGAAGATGATGGGCTTGTTGCAATAAGTATTGATCTGAGCACCAATGTCGATTCCAGAGGCATTGTTGCCAACGACTATCACTTTCTTGCCTGAGTAGTCCTCAGGCCGGCGGAAGTACTTGGCATGATGGATTGAGCCCGGGAATTTCGTTTCCCATGCCTTCATCCCAGGAATGTCAGGTATCCAAGGGACGGTGAAGTGCCCGCTGGCAACCACGACTGCGTCGTATACTGTAGTGTTGACCTCTTTATCTGCAAATCTTTGAGTGGTGACAGACCATGAGTCTCTCGAACTCGCGGTAGCTGGAATAAGTCGCACATCCACAACCTGAGTGTTGAATTGAATCATGTGCTCGACGCCCTTTCCGTAGGCCTGCACGTATTTCCGAACAGTGTCATGGGTAGCAAAAAGCTGACTGTTTTCAGGGAATGGGAAATCCCCAAACCCCATGAGTGGTGTGGCATTGTTGGTCTCGAGTCTCTCATAAATAGGGCTCACGAATTCGGCCCCGGATACACCGTGGGAAGCGGGCACGGGTTGATCCTCGCCAACAAAGGGACTCGTCTGTGGCACAATGGCAAAGTTGTCTCGACGGTGCTGAGGCGTGTAGTTCCACAGGCCGCCCGTATGAGGACGCTGTTCAAAAACGTCGACCTGATTTATGGACTCTTCCGCCGACAAGTACCTGGCATGATCTTCCGTAAGCCCAATATCATCCAAGGTCAAGGCTAGGCCTACTCACTTGGCCGCAGATAAACCAGAAGGACCAGCGCCAATAATGGCGACCGACTTAACGCCTCCAATGTTTGTATCAGCCGTATGGCTCGAAAACGCCGTGGTTTCCCCCATGATGGTGCGTAGTTCCTTGCGATCTGCTATACAAATCAATCAGCGAGGGACAAGTTTCCCGCGCCGCCGTTATCATTTACTCATGAGGGCATTGCCGGCGATGGCGTGCTCAGGGGGGCAAACCTGCCCGTCCGTTTTGGCATGTTAGCTAGAGGCAAGTGGGCCGGTCCCATTTTCTTCTTCTTCTCCTTTTCCTTTCGGTTCGGGACGTGAGCATTCCGCTTCCTTGTCGGGACTGTGCTTGCACTCCCGTCGAGGCAATTCGTGCTAAGCACTGCTTACCCTCGCCTACCCAGACATCCCAGCTGCACGCCAGCCCAGTGTTCTACCAGTTGGCTTGCAAGTCATTCAAGTCACTAGATAAAGGTTAATATTCCTTTCGGTTGTTCAGATTTGACTAGGATAATCAGGCGTGTAATACGAGGTTCACGAATCCTGAAGCATACTTCAGAAATACCCCAGTTAGGAGGAGAGGGTGCCATTATACTCATCAAAGATGTCTTTCCGCTTACAAGCACCTTGGTATTGATCACGAAAGTAATTATAGCTGCTAGAAGGAACTCTAAAGACTGTTTCGCTCATATTCAAGTGACACCAACCGAGCATGAGACTGAAAGCGGCAGCTCCTCGCAAAACGGAAAAGGAACTACGACCAGGTTGGCGCCTCTCCATGCAGTAAGTCCAGTCACATTCGCCGATCTCACACGTTGGCTTGTCCCCGGAAAAGTCGAAGAGCTCATGCTATCATTTACACTCTTCAACACCAACATAATCCAACTTCAGACATCAAGTACTTGTTCATCTCTAGCAAAGCCACAAATCCAAAAAAGATGAATTTGCAGTTGTCGCAAGCTTGCAATATGAGCGGTTGTATTCAGGGCGTGATGTACACTACATGATCGTTAAATTTGCATTTCAGTCCATACTTGACGAGTTTCCCCAAATCAAGGATTAGAAAGGTACATCAATACGGGAGGGCGCCTGCCAGCTTCAAAAGCTTATCAGTCTTCTCGGGAAGCTCTCTGGGCGTCTCTCGGTCCCGAGGGTCCCTGGTTCCATCCTCGAATAGTGCTCGGGTCTCCCTGATCTTGATGTTGTCGTGCGGCCAGTGAGTAGTTCCGCCGTACTTTTCGAAAACCTGCTTCTTGAGGGCAAGCTGCTCCGATGAGGCCAGAGACGCCGGCGCGTACGCCGCATAGATGACTGTCCGTATCTGGGTGCTTTCTGGGCTTGGCACCGAGCCATAGTGTATCGTACGGCTATCCCATATGATGAGGTCGCCAGGTTCGGCACATACTTTGACAGGGCTCAATCCCTTGCTCTCAAACCACGAGAGCTCCTCTCGTGAGAATTCATATATATCATCCGGCTTCCAGGTGGTGCTATCAGTTTCGACGTCAAAGAAGTGCTCTACAAGGCGATGAGAACCCGGATAGACCACAAGACCACCATCGTTGGGGCCGGCCGGGGACAGGTTAATGATGCCCTGTATGCAGTTCAAGCCCCGCCGCAGCGGGCTTTGGTCAACATGCTCCCATGGCGGACGTGGAACTACATCCTTGCGATTCGGAAAGGTGACGTTGAGGGCGTCGAAGCTGACGAGCAGCTCGTTGGTGCCCCAGATCTCAGCGAACGTATCAACGACACCGGGCTCGAGCCGTGCATCCCAGACAAACTTTTCATGGCAAACACTATATCTTGAGAATGTGTTGATACAGCTGTGGATTGGTAGATTGCTCTTAGTCCAAGTTGAAGGGTCGTCAAAGTCCAAGTTTGTGCCAAAGGACTGTAGCCACTCGTACGCCTTGTCTCGATAGCCGAGGGCGCGGTCAAGGGGAATGGCGCCTTTCAATACCACGTAGCCATTCTCTGCAAGGTCGCGCTTCCAACCTGAAGTGGCTTTGCTGGGGAGAGGTCAGCATATCCGCACAGACGTATATCTCAGCTAAGACCAGAGCTGGCCTAGGCGCGGTGTCGTACTTACTCCGATATCGAGCTCAGAGCAGCCGGGGCCGGCTTGAAAGCACGAGCTGTCCGAGCCGGTGCCACTGCTGCCGCCATACTTGTGCTACTTTGATAATTTGGCACGTTGCCTTGCTGCGTTTATCGACTTAACTTTCTTGGTGGCGGGATATGCCAACCTCGTTCAATCTAGCGTTTCTGTTGTGTTCCTGATAGCTTCGATCAGTCGAATTCTGGGTGCTATGAGAATTCCTTAGTTTGAGTCATGGATCGAGTTTGATCTCTTATCACTACGGAAACTTGCTATAAGTATCCGGCGAGTCTAGTCGGGCCGTAGCACATCGCGTTTTCTAGAGGACGGATGGCGTGATGAAATGTGGGAATTAACCCCTCGTTACTCGGCCCATACATAGCATATACTTGACGGGCTCAGGCCTTCAGCTTAGAGAGCTTCCACGGTTCGATCGTCATGGTTCTAGCGTCTGGGCCACATGGCAGCATTCGTGAGGCATTTGGCGTAATGCCCACAACACGGAAGACAGGGGGGCAAGCCGACAGACACGGAAGGAAGCAGCATACCCGATGCATGCACCATGTGCCACTAGCTAGTCATACGTCTAGCACGCTATCTGACTAACTAATGTGGACAACCCGGCCGGAAAGCTCCAACGGGAGTTGTCTGACATGAAGCACGATACGGAACAGAAGCTTCAGCGCGGAATAACTCTCTGCTGGCTCTTCTATCGTCTCCCGGCCTTGTGTTAATCATATCTTAGCCTCTGTCCCAGCACTTAGATTTTCAAACACATACAAAGAAATCGACTCAGCCGATACTATATGGTCAACTCAAGACAACAGTAATCTCTCTTTCTCCATTTTTAGTGCTCCTCTCACCCATCCAGCGGCATGGCTACACGAACCGGGGCCGGGGCCGGGGCCGACCGGCCCAAGAAACAAATCATGCTCAACGCCTTTGACATGTTCACGCCTAGCCACCTTTCATTTGGCCAGTGGCGCCAGCCTGGCTCTCGTGCCAAGGACAAACGGCGAGATTTGTCCTACTGGACCGATTTAGCCAAGCTCCTTGAAAAGGGCGGCTTCACCTCGCTCTTCTTGGCCGACTCGTACGGCTTGTATGATGTTTACAAGGGCAGCGAGGCCGAATCTATCAAAAATGCAGCTCAGTTCCCTATTGCGGACCCTACAATTGTACGTTTCTCAGTAGCTGTAACTACAAATACCTGCTAGATGGCATAAGCCGTGCGGGAGCACATTTGCAGCAACCCTCTCCGAATTACCCACTGACGCGTGCTAACTGACTCTGTTGATGTAAAGCCCATATCGGCCATGGCCGCCGTCACGAACAACCTAAACTTTGCCATCACAACCTCAACTTCGTACGAGAAGGCGTACGTCGTTGCAAAGCGTTTCAGTACTCTGGACCACCTGACTAATGGTCGCTTTGGCTGGAACATTGTCACCAGCTGGAAGGAGAGCGCGTCCAAGGCTGTAAGTTTACGCAAACGACCATTAGTGGTTATTGATCTTCACTTGTAACACTCCTGTTCATAATCAAAGGTTGGCCTCCCACTCGTTGATCACGACAAACGGTACGATGACGCTGATGAATACATCCGACTTCTTTACAAGTAAGACGCCCCCCATATCACACCTATATTAGTATAACGAAACCCACCATGATACTGATTGTGTTCTAGGCTCTGGGAGGGCTCATGGGCCGATGACGCTCTTAAAGAAGACATCGAGTCTGGAGTCTATACCGATAACACAAAAGTACGACGAATTGTCCACCGTGGCATTCATCAGACCGACGCCCCGTTCATCGTTGATCCCTCCCCCCAACGAACACCTGTCTTGTTCCAAGCGGGCACCTCCCCGTGAGCCGCAGCCGATTGCTCTTGAAAGTTCTAATTCCCTGGCTAACACCGATACACAGCGCTGGCGTCAAGTTCGGCTCAACGCACGGAGAGGGCATTTTCGTCGGGGGCTTCTCGCCACACATTATTGCGCCCCGTGTCAAGGCCTTGCGCGAGAGTGCAGCAGCCGCCGGCCGCGACCCAGCCTCGATAAAAGTATTCGCCGAGATCTCGCCCTTCCTCGGGCGAACAGAGGAGGAGGCTCGGGACAAGTACGACAAGGCACTCGAATACGGCCTCGTCGACGGCGGCTTGGCCATGGCCAGTGCTTCGTACGGTTTCGACCTCAGCAAGTTTGACCCGGACCACGAGCTGCAGCCGGAGGACATCACCAACATAAACCGTGTGCGATCGCAGCTCCACAACTTGCAGTATCGCGGCGACGATGTCCCGAAACTCACGCCGCGCAACTTGGGAATCTTGGCCGCTGTGGGCGGAAGTTTCAGCCCAACGCCGGTGGGCACGGCCGAACAGGTTGCTGACGTTATCGAGAAGTGGGTTGAGGTGGCAGATGTCGATGGCTTCAACATTGGCCACATCGTCACGCCTCAGAGCTACATCGATGTAGTAGAATTGCTGATCCCTGAGCTGAGAAGGAGGGGCATCTTCCCGCAGCAAGAAGAGGCATCCGAGCCACTGACATTCAGGGAGAGAATTTACGGTAAAGGACAGAGAGGGCTGCGATCAGATCACCCTGGTTACAGGTATCGATACGACAACTATGAGACGGCGATCAAAGAGGATAGGGAAAAGGCGGCCGCTGTGGCTTTAGCCTCCGGTGGCGGTTCTGCAACCACGAGTTAGGTGTGCACATACTTCGCATACTTGAAGAGTAAAGTAAACAGTTGTTGCCAAGATAAAGATCTATTTCAAGCACAAGATACAACCTATAGTGTGCTTGCGGTAGTGGTTCTAGAATCATTGCTACCATCTAGCGTCAACGTTTGCATGCCAGCATTCATCTCTACAGTCGTCTATCTTGACATTCCCTGACACATTGAAGGGTCCGAGGTAGGCCTCTAGTCTAGTTGCACAAGATTCTCAAGGATATCCCACCAAAGTTGAAGACATGACCTATTTAAAAATATCTACCCACACCCTACACGGGAGAGAGAGTTAGAGCATAATATTAAAACAACACTAGAAGATGCCAGACCCGGCATCTAAACACAATGAATACGAACTACTACCCATAGCCTAGTACTTTGGAACAACCAAGTTTTCATAGATCTGAGCTTCTTTATTCCTCAAATCTTGCGTCATCCATGTTTCGAATGAACTGAATCATCCATTGAATCCCAGTTATATGAGCTCCAATGGCTTGCCTTTCATTAGTCGAATGAACGCCTGATCGATCAGCCTCCTGATCGAGAGCGACACCAAATCGGAAAATATGCTTTGTTAGGCCCCAGAGATGACGTGTATCAGTGTTTCCGGTCATAATTCCAGGAGCTACGATTACGTTGTCTCCGAATACGGCACGTATTGTTCCCGCGAGGACTGCATATGGAGACGGTTGAGTTGTGTCGGTCGGCGTGACAGGAGCCGGCGAGAACTGCTGTTTCAAAGAACGCAGCGTCAGATAACTTTCCTCTTCAGTCATTATCTCAGATGACGGAAAGTTGTGGAAAGTGAGATTGTACTTTTCAGCAATAGGAGCTGCCAGTAAGGCCAGGTGCTGCTGTATATCTGACGTTGTTTGGCCGATATTGATACGATAGTTGATTACAGCGGATGTCTTTTCCGGGAGAACGTTAACTTTTACGCCACCAGCTATGATATCAACAGCTTGGGAGGTCTGCATCAAGTATCTGACCCCGCGGCTCTCCTTGGCAGCCTCTTCGGCCAGTGGATCTCGGGAAGTTAGTGCCGTATTGTCGAAAGGCGAATTCCTCCTTTCAGCAGACAACTTGTCTTTCTCACGTTCCTGAAGAAGGCGTTCTAACGCGGGTGGGAACTCAGGGCCATGGGCGGCACCGCACTTCATCTGGGCGAGGTATGGATTCTCGTCTCGAAGAAACGGCAGAAATGGCTTGCTCTCAATATGCGTGATCAGGTCGCTAATGATACCAATGCTGGTATGGTCAGGCGGAGACGATGAATGCCCCGAGGGTGTCCGAACCTCTATCTCGACATCCATAGATCCCTTCTCCCCTACTGCCGGGAGGGCAAAGACTCCTCCCCACTTCCGCTCTAGGGGTGACCCTTCATCGACAATGACGGCCAGTGAATTATGACCAAAGCGCTCTTCCAAATGTCTGCCAATGTAGCCAGCCCCCTGAATACCAGAGGATTCCTCATCAAAACCAAATGCCAAGATGAGACTGCGTTCAGGTTGAAATCCGTACTGTATAAGTAGTTCCGCTGCATCCATGATGGCGGTGAGTTGGCTTTTACAGTCAATCGACCCACGTCCCCAAACATAATGTCCATCAAAATGACCACTCCATGGGGGGTAGATCCATTGATCAAGAGATGACGCGTCGACCGGAACGGTGTCCTGATGGGCCATCAGCATTGTAGGCTTCAGCGTAGTGTCACTCCCTCGCCAGGTGTACACCAGGCCATGGGTATTAACATGCTGTAACTCAAATGTGTCGTGAACCAATGGGTATGTGGCCTTTAGGTACGAGGCAAAGTTGTAGAACACATCCCATCGTGGATCGTCTCCGACAGAGCCCAGATCGTCGAAAGATTCCGTACGGACCTGCACGGCGCCGCTCAGGCGAGCGACTGATTCATTCTTGAAACGGTCTGAAAGTAGAAATTCCTCCAGCAACAACAGATGACTGTTATTTTGTGAGGGTAACAAGGGAGGGACCTGCTGGCACACATTTCTGAAATCGAAGTCGGCCCACACATTCGCATTGTTGTCGTTGCTGCTCACACCTTCTGTTTTAGATCCTTGAACAACCCACACCCATCGAATGAGAGTGAATAATGCCGCTAAATCAAGCAGAAGCCAAGTGACCGTCACTACTTGGCTGCGAAAACGGGAGCCAGAACTGTGTTGGAGTTCAGAGAGTGCAGTCTTCGAAACTTTCTCGTTCATCTTTGGAGTAGAATCGTGTATACGACATATAAATTTAATTATAACTCGAGGATGCTGCTGGCGGCAAGACTGAGACAAATATGCACTTATAAGCTTAGGTTCGGAAAGAGCGGCACCCAAAGTCTGGGGATTAGGAAAATCGAAATCAGTGTATTAAGTAGTGGAGAATGGCACTGTAAGAAGTATGTGCCGTGACGAAAACACGTCTTTTTTCCGCCTTTCCCGCACCCATTTCCAATTTACATATCCAATCCCAGGGCACCAAGCACAATATATTATTATGAAATTGCGTGCTACTAAAGAAAAGAACCCCCAAGAGCACTCCTCCAAGAAGCTCAACTCTGTACATGAGACACAGTTACTATACTTCTATCAAGCCGCTCATGTCCCTTACATTAAGAGAGTATCAATGTAATGTTTGCAACGAAACTACAAGCTTTGAACCGCATAGATCTCCTGCTTTCAGCCGATTCAGGGAAGGTTCAACTTCCTGCAATCCTCCATTAATAATTTCGAGTTTAGGAAATACCACCACCCCTGCCGCAACTAACATGTTCAGCCCCTTTGCGTAGACGGAAAAGGTTTCATCGAGCACAAACCGTTTCATCTCAATCCTTGCCGCGGAGATGTTAGATGGGACGCTCTGGCTCGGCGACGTCAAAGCTACAGGAGCTAGAATGGCCGGCGAAGAAGAAGACATGCATTTTAAGCAAAGTGGCACAGTTGTTGGGCCAACCAAGTCCAGAGCTCGTGTGATCTTGTCTCCTCCCAATGAGAGAACCTGGCCTACAATAGTCTCGTCGCTCTTCCCATTTCTTGTGACGACATGAGTAGCACCAAATTGTGTTAACAATGACGCTGATCTCTCCGAGCACACGACTATGGTGCTCACACCGGCATGCGCTAGTAATTGGACTGCGAATTATCCAGTAACAGATCTACTACCCTAAACTATAACTCTCCCCTTTATTATTACTTTCTTAGCAGGAGCTATTAGTATTCTTACCCTTTATTATATACTAATCCTTAATAGATCTATCTTATACTAGCTTAACTGCCCAGATAGTAGTAGCTACTTACTATAGGGCTTTACCTATTCTCTATCCCTTCTATATTAAGCTTATCTTCTTAAGATATAGTTAAGGCTTTAAATTATTAAAATTTTACTATAGCTTTCTAATTTAATACTTTTATATAATAATCCTTCTAGAAACTATTCTTAAGATAGTTACTATTAAATTCTATTTAAATATTAATCTCCTCCTCTAAATTTTATACTAAATATCTAATCCCCTTTTTATTATATTTAGAAATAAGCTTATATTATATAATCTTCTAGCTCCTAGTCTTAATATATAATATATTTATACTCCTAGATAAATTAAAAAGGAAAAAGTAAATATTATATTAATACTATAGATTCTAAGCTATAGTATTATACTCTAATAACTTATTTTAAATTAGAATATATCTAAAGAGATCTAATATTATATTCTTAAAAGTATCTTTAATAAGCTATATAAATTTAAAGAGAATTTTTCCTTATAAAGTATTATTAGTATATTTATCTTTAACTTTATTAATTTCTTTTACTATAGTAAAATATATTAATTAGATCTATTTTCTTAAGAAAGCTAATAGTTTAGTTTATTAGATTTATTAAAATAATAATCTATCTAATAGTTTTACTTATAAAGCTATCTAGCTTCTTACTAAATAT